TAGTGAATTTGGTTTCAGCAATCTTTTTTTCTTACCATGTACTTTAGGAAACGGTGACTCTTAACTTGTTTTCAATGATTTGGTGATTGTGTTTAATGATTAGTGGGGAGGGGACGTTGATCAAGGACGTTGATGGAAATATAAGAATCCGGTATTTCATTTCTGGCCTAATAGAGACAACGCAGAATCTCTGATGAAGAATGGGGACTACAACATTAGAACTTTCACTGATAATTCTTTTCATTGGTGGAGCTCAAACGTAAGTAGAATTAATTAGTAACTGTAAGCTTTGTGAGTCACAAGAGAAAATTAGCAATTTATTTGAATATAAAAGTCTAGAAAATAAGAGGGATGACATAATAGGATATGTAAGGCTGTTGATTTTTGTTTCTTGATTGTCAACAATAAAACATTTTAATGATGTAATGAATAATACTACTACTAATAATAATAAGTATTATTATTATTAATATTTTAATTACTTTAATTTGTTAATCTTTTCTTCTTAAAGAAATACATTTTTATTTTGGTGCTTATTGTATGGCCAATCATTTAGTGTAGACAAATTCAGGTGAAATTATGAGCTAAGAGAAACAAGTTTATATATCACAAACAAGTATATGCTCACCAAGTAAATTCTAGCATTGTGCACCAGGAATGCACCAATACCGATACTAGTATCGGTATCGGTGCTGATACCGAGTATTTGGGCGAGTACTCGTACTCGCCCAAATGCTCCCGATACTTATCCCGATACAAGAACTTCCAGTATCAGGAAGCCGGGCGGCGAATCATTACATGCTGCCCAGCTCCCTGATTGGCCGGGAAACTGGCCCCATGCTCCTTTGTCACTTGGTAAAGAGGGAGCATGGAGCCAGCTTCCTAGCCAATCAGGAAGCCGGACGGCGTGTAATGACTCACCACCCAGCTTCCTGATTGGCCGGGAAGCTGGCCCCATGCTTCTTTGTCACTTGGTAAAGAGGGAGCATGGAGCCAGCTTCCTGGCCAATCAGGAAGCCGGGCGCTGTGTAATGACTCGCCGCTCGGCTTCCTGATTGGTACCTCATCATCTGGTGGGAGCATGGAGACGGCTTCCTGGCTAATCAGGAAGCCATGCAGCGAGTCATTACACACCGCCTGGCTTCCTTAATGGGACATCCGGTATCAGTATTCGCTATCGGCGAGTACTGAAAAAACTGTATCAGTGCATCCCCATGCACAATAATATGTCATGTGCATTGTATATAGCCAACCAAATCCACCCCAAATTCCCCACCTTTAACTTATCCAATACCAGGCCTGGATTTTTGTGGCCACAGCAACCATTTTATTAGATACAAAGCCAAATACCATCCTTACCAACATAATCGTAACTGAGTTTAAGGTCTTTGAAGGTCATCTTACTACAAAACCACCTGGTATCTGCGTACTAGGCCCCCAACTGCACAGCACCGCCTCAGGAACATTGGATCACAACTGCAGATACCAACTGAATCTTCACATGATCCATTACCATGGCGATGCCATACCTGAGATGGCTCCCCAAACTCAATGAAACAATGACTGCAGATACTTTCCTTAAATTGACCATACTACCCTGCCCAGCTGCATTGACAAATACTAGCACACATAAAATTAAAAAGAAACACATACCAAATTCACAAAAATTACTGCAGCTAGATTTAAAAAAAAAAAAGGGGAGGGGGAGATGGTGCTTTAAAGGAGAACTATGAGGTGAGTGCTTTTCACTCACCTCATAGTTCTAGCCGACCTGTGACAATGAGACTATCACAGGTCGGCTCAGTAGATCGGAAGGTGAGCGAACACATCCCGTCTTTTGCTCACCTCTCCATCCTGTCATGGCTCTCTGCCGTGACAGGGGAGGGGCTGGATTCCCCCCTCCCTGCTCCGATCCGCCAGCGCTGACTGGCAGAACGGACAGGGGAGGGGGCAGGTACAGCTGGCTCTGCCTCTAGATAGGCAGAGCCAGCTGTCAGTCACACAGCTGTGTGGATCCCGGCATAATTGTCGGGATCCGCTTCAGCTGCGGCGTCTCAGTATACCGCGAGCAGCAGCTTGCGCTATACTGCGACGTCTCAGTATACCGCGAGCTACAGCTTTACACTAGAAGCAATTCTGGTGGTTGAGCTACCGCCAGATCACTTTCAGAGGCTGGTGAAGAGTTCCTAACTGCCCACCACCTTGCGTCACGGACTCCATGACCCCTCCTGCTGGCCCAGGACCAGGTGTTAGGCCGAAGTGGAAAGAGAGACCAGAAAACATCCATTTGCCAATTTCTTTTTCACTGAATGGAGCCAGAAGTGACGCTGATTGCAATACTTATGGCTCCTCAGCTGTCATTCCCCGGCTAGAGAAGCCAGGGAAGAAGCTATTTAACCCTTGACGTCTCTTCCTCTGTGCTATCAGCCCCTGCTCTGTGCTATGTGCTTGTGAGCCCCTATGTGATAGCAATAAAAAAAGTTTAAAAAAATTTAAGTGACATGTAAAAAATATTTTTTTTTAAATGGACGTCTTTGGGTAATGTAGTTTTTTTTTTTTGCCAATTCACGACATGAGCAATTTTATGGTTTGATATGTTTGAACTCTATATACCCAACACAACCCCATCTTTATATTTTTTTAAAATGTGGTATTATATTGTGTTTGTGTGCACTAAAACCTTTTTTAGTGTATTTTATTACCAAAAATATTGATTTGATAAACATTTGTGGAAATAGCACTTGGCAAGGAAAATTGCAACTATCATTTTTTTAATCTACAGGACCTCTGCTTTAGAAAATATATAATTATTTGGGGATTTTAAGCATTTTTTTAGCCAAAAATGCCAATTTAAAAAATGGTCTGGCAGCGAAGTGATTAAGCAGTTGCAAAATTGTTTCTGTGGATTTCTAAAGGTTTCTCTCACCAAGCTCACCCGAGAAACATTAGCAAACTTTGCATGTTTGAACCATCAATTTCCTGAAATCTTGTGAGGAAAAGTACGCTAAACCAATTGCTTTGTGATCACATGACCAAGAGTGTCTTGGCATGTGCACACAAAATATAGCACTAATATGGGGGGATAACCTGCACCCCCCCAACCCCCCTTCTCCAGAGGTATAGCTCATCTAAAAATGTTTTCCTGCAAATTTTAATCTCAAAATATTCTTAAAATGTGCTGAGTATTATCACAGAAATATGTCATCATGTGATTTATTCATACTATATTATACTGTATTTCATATTGTATTATGTTGGTAAAAGTAGCACAAAAAAGCAACATTTTCACAACTAACCATTTTTATGGCACTTTATTATGTCTCTCCAGTGAGATAATGCATAAAATCAATATTTTGAACCATCAAAGAACAATTGAAGATGAATAATTAACTTCACTCTTAATCACTATGTTTTCAAATACCCTTTTTCTGGACAGGTGCATCCTTATCACCCCCAATGTGCTGTGAGTAGATAGTGAGGAGACCATTGTGGTGGATGCCCAAGGACACAATTCAAAATTCGAGGCTCAGATTTTGATTCGGGATTTCCCTCAGAAAAGAATTCATCTCGCTGAGGGAAAAGTCTTCCTCAATGGTGGCAATTCCTTTCTGGATGCAGTCAAACTAACGGTAATGTTGGCAGCAACCGAGATTCATATCACCCTAAGCTGATATACTAGCCCTGGGGACATTTAAACTATTTGAGCATATTGATCTATATGGATCCTATTCTGAGCTTTTAGAATTACTGTGGCATGTGAAAAATATTTAGCCCATTGAATGTTTCCTCTTCTGGTTTTCATATTCTGCATAGGCCCTCTAAGTAATACAATTATATAGGGAAGAATGCTTTGAGGATTCATATCTGTAAGAAATAACTCACTTCAACCCCCTTCCATCCTAGCATGTGCTTCCTTTATTCCAACAGGACACTGGGCAAGTAGGTTATACCTGTCTCATCATGGAAAATATTAGATTTCCCACTAACTTTAACTGTAATTCCTCCCTCTCCCTAGGGAAATGGTAGAACATTGGTCAGATTGTTGTTCCCCATGGGGAAGGGTTAGAACAGTGGTCAGATTGTTATTCTTCACAGGGAAGGGTTATGTCATTGGTCAGATTGTTATTACGCAAAGGGAAGGGTTAGGCCATTGGTCAGATTGTTGTTCCTCATAGGGATGGATTAAAACATCAGTCAGATTATTATTTCTTCATGGGGAAGGGTTAGAACATTGGTCAAATTGTTATTTCTTCATGGGGAAGGGTTAGAACATTGGTCAAATTGTTATTCCTGGCAGGGAATTTTTAGGACATAGGTCCAGTCAATGTTCCTCACAGGAAAGGGATAGGACACTGGTCAGATTGTTATTTTCCAGGGTGAAGAGTTAGAACATCAGTCAGATTGGTATTTCTTGACTTTCTTTGTAGCAGAAGTGAACAGTCCTTCCTACTGGATTGAGCAGACCTCACATAATGATATGTAAGCACTACTAAGTCCAAGAGTACTGTGAGCCCAGGGTGCATGATGAAGCACCCATTGGGAACCAGTGCATGACAGTCTTGGCTCTAAGGAAGGGGGTTGAATGACATTAGCTGTTATTTGACTTAGAAGAGACCAGCAGTGCTAGGTGGATGAAAGAAACAGAGGCCAGCTCTGTAGTGTGAAGAGGGTAAGTATTGCTTGGCCACATTTTTTTAATAGAGGGAGGGGAGCCCATAAAAAAGATCTGATTTTACCATTGCCTGTGTGGTATCAGCTGACACCTTCATCCAGAAGCATAATCATGCCATACATGCTTCTGTTTCTGCCACATACTTAAAAGTTTATGAAACTTTTTTATTTTATGCCAAACAAGTACATCCTAAAACAAAAATCAGACACACATTAATCTCAGTCTTCTATCTGCTCTGCTTTACTTTCAGATTCCAGAACAAAATGAATTTATAGACCCTACAAAGAAACAGTTTGTCTCAGTGAGTGTAAACTCAATGGCTTGCAAGATGGAGAAAGTTGTCCTGTTGTCGTTTAATGCTGGACATGTCTTTATACAGACGGACAAGCCCATCTACAACCCGGGCTCAAAAGGTAGTTTACAAAATCAGTCCGCTGGATAAAGGCATTGATCACTTGATTGAAGTTTATGTATAGCCCCAAATTTGTTTTAGCTTTAGTGTAAAGTAGGATTAGAAAACATGTCGGATTGGCATCTGTGCACCTGTTATGTATATTCACTCTTTATATTTGTCCTGGTGACCTATGACACAGAGACAGAAATTTATGCTATGGAGCAGGAATAAAGGGAAAATCTTTCAGTGGGCCATCTATCCTGGAGACTCACTTTCTATACTTCCTGTTGCATACTTCCTGTTGCATCTCCATGTAAATCTCCCCAATGGGGCAAAGCTAGGCTGACAGTCTCTCTAGAGCCTCCAAAATCTATGGCCCGGTGTGTCTTCTGTGTCCCAGGTATATCAACTGCAAAACAGTGTGGCAGTATTTTCCAGGGATGCAGCGTAGGCTCTCGGGTGCTTCGGGGGACTGAGGCCATAGAGGAGAAGGGGAGAGGTGACCACACTGTCAATAAGTTGCAGGATAAGGGCCGGTATTATCAGCCCCAGCTTTGTGCCCCATCCTGCATCCTAACCAGCCACCATGTTATTTGCTTAGGGTGTTGTGAACGTGATGTACCATTCCTGCCCATGCTTGCTGGACCATGTGTCTAATCATTTGGACCGTGACCGCAAGGTCCACATGGTAGAGGGCAGGTATGGCTTTCTGTCAAAGAAAAATTATAGAGTTTCTAATTTTTTCCATTTCACTAAACAAATGTGGCTTAAGTGTTGTCTGCTTTCTCCTTAGAGAGATCTCTATCCAAAATTTAATTTCCTTGCTCTATTGCAAATTTTATTTTAAGATAGAACCTGAAGAATATGGGCTAGATCAGAAGAAGGGAACGCTCACCTCCCTCTTGTCCTAGAAGTGGGACAGATCGCTATAAGGGGGCTGGGTGTATTCACATTTGATGAGCCTGTGGCTGACATTATCTCCCAGCATCCTGCTATATTAAAAAGAAGCAGAATTTAATGCTTTGTTTCTTCTCTTGTTTTCTAGTACTTTATTGGATATTTGCCATGGACTACAAACTGAAGCCAAAGGAAAGGCCTCTAAAAGTTGAAGTTTTGGTAAGCCTGAGTCTAATTTTTCTGTTAAACAATTTTTATGTATTTATGCATGTTTACATTTACTAATCTGTTTAGTGCCATGACCCAAAGTTCACTGGCTCTACACCCCTGGTCCGATACTTCTAACCATGTTCCAGTATTACTCATTGTCCATCCCTGCTCTGAGTTGCATAGCCTTTGTTCAGAAAGTGCCTTGGCGAGTCCTTCTTATTTTGCTTATACTGTATGTGCGTGCCACAGCCCCATTCATTCCTATAGGTATATGATATCTATGATATATTCCTATAGGATATATACTGTGTGTATATATACTTTGTGTATATATATATATACATATATATATATACACATATACATATATATATATATTAGGGCTGGTAATGATTAAAATTTTCGTGTTCGATTAATCGAATTTTTTTAATCGATTCATTTTGATTAATTATAACGCACATACAGATCCAACTACATTGGTCTATACACATACAGCACAGCAATGAAGTAATACAATTAACTAGGATCACACTAATCCAGCACGTTATTAATTTAAACATAAGTATTAGCTTAATATTTGAAGTAGCAGCAGCATTCCATTTCATGTAAGGACCTGATTGCAACATAATATCAGTAAATTTCAATGGGCACATTTCTGGGAGTGAGATGGGGGGGGGGGGGGGTTTAATGGAGAGCCACATAGTGCATATATATAAGTTTAAGATAAGACAGAAGCTTGGTGCTTCTTGGGCAAACTCACTGACCCAAGTAAAACGCCCAGGTGGGAACCATGCCCATAGGCAATAATTTGTTTTCACATGTTGAGCGTTTTACAGCGCATAAGAACGCGCTGTAAAATGCCCAGGTGTGAACCCAGCCCCAAGCAGTTGAACTATGTCTGCACATCCTGTACTTCTTTGATGTCTAAAGTCATCTGTTGTTCCTCCTTGAAATGCCTGAAATAATCTTTTATTTTTGAATGGTTTTACTTGTACATCGACTTCATGGAGCTGCATACATTTATAGCCTAAACATTGCTTTGTTGCATTTTTACAGACTCCGGATAATATCATTGTGAAGCAAGAATCAGTTCATGTTAACTCCGGTGTGGTTGCAAAAGCTTATCAGCTAACAGAACCAGCCAGGTAAGAGGGGTAATTGGTGTGTGAAAATAGATTATTTGTGTCTTTAGAAAAAGCATCCACTAAGAAACCAAAACCATATCGTTGCAGTTAGCAGAAGATTATACAATTGTCAATGTTATTTTGCTGATCAAGGATCTCTACCCTGACCCATGAACTAAATGTCCAAGGAACTGCAAAAAAAAATCCTGAACAACGAGGAGTAGAACTAATACCATAAATGTTTTACATATTCTGAGATATCAGATGGGGGAAAACATCTAGATTCAGAAATTGCTGTTGACTTACATGACTGATGGATTTGTCAATTTCGACCCCTTCATTAGGTTCCCAATAAACACATAGACTGTGCAACATGGATTTCAATGGCCGCAGCAGCCCTTATATGTAACCATATAACAATTATCCTGTTCCAATCACAATAACCCGATTTGCTAGATCCACCCCCTGTCACTAGCCACACTGGGGGACAGCTCCAGAACTAACTATTCCTGACTTACAAATAAGCCAAGCCCCCATCAACAGCTGACACCTGTGGGTGAAGTACCATACCACTAGATGCCCCCCCCCCCTTTCTTTGTGTTTGTCTCACATTTTACAGACCCCGTAAGCCACCAAGCTGCTGCAAGAAATACACACACATACTGTATATATCATACATAAAGTATATAGCCCAACTGCCATCAACATTGGATAAGAGAGGGCAGGTCAGGTGGGACAATCATATCCCTTTATCAATTTGCCAGAAAGGACTCTGAGCAGCCCCTGCAGTACCTACCCATGAAGCTCCTCCCTACCACCTGACCCTCATCCTCCAATAAGGTTAGATCTGCTGTTCAAACTTTAACCCCTTCCCAGGGAAAGTTCCTCCCACCAGTCACATAGCCCCTTTGCTTATTATCTCTGGGTCTGTCTTTATGTGTATTTTAAACTCTGAGTTCCGTGTATGCAAGAGGTCTTCAGCTCCTTGAGAAGATCCATATAACAAAATATAGAGAGTATTTTACTTTTTTTCTGTTCTGTTTTATGCCTGTATGGGCTGTTATAACTTCTAGTAGGCACAATGTGAAATGATAAATTGATCTCAGCTATGTTGTCTATCTATAGTGGTCTCCACTCGTTATCCATCTGTAATCCGAGCTTTCAGACACTAGTTGTTTTCAGCACAGGGTTTCTGTCTAGTGTTTGCAAGTATCAGACCGGTGTTTTCCTATGAAAGCAAATTGAAGGTTTGCTTTACTCACAGCCCCCTCCCAAATACAAATGGCTTATTGAAGTGAATGAAAAATAAAGTTGAAAAACGTACCTCGGCGTGCCTTCCGATGCTCCCCGGAAGAGCTGGGCAGTCAAAATCCAATGAGATTGTTGTCTTGCAGTGGTATGCAGCATATTTTTGTGGAATTCCAAGCACCAACTCTCAGGAGGGGCAACAGTAAGGCACGGTGATATTACCCATGCCTTCCGGAAGCCAAAATTAGTATTTCTTTTCTTTTTTTTTTGGTACAAACCTTTTTTTTTTCAATGTTTTTTTAAGCCATTTGTATTTGAGGCTGTGATTAAAGTAGGCCTTCCATTTTCATGGAACGTTCACTTTAGTAAAGTTTTCCCTACACTTAAGTACTGCTCTAATGTTTAATTCTCTGCTACCTGAACATCTAACACCTAACCTAACCCTTAAAATGAACCCTTGACATTTAAACCCCCATTCAACACTAAACATGTAACCCTTAACACGCTCTTTAACACATAAGGGTCTATTAAACAATGTGCACTATAACATGACATGTGCATTGCATATGTCCTTGGGTCACCTAGCCAACCAAATCCACCCCAAACTCCGCCACCTCTATTTACAAACGTTTTCACACAAGATTCACACAACTTTCAACCAGTTTTCATGCCTTTTCCAACTGAATCTTATTAAAAAATGTGTGCATACAAAATGTGTGCATATGTAGTGAAAGATTCTGTGAATCTTTTGTGAAAAAATGATAATTTGACCTCCTAAAATGCATCTCAATGTTATCTCAATGAAAAAAACATGACCATAGAAGTATGGAAAGCACATTCCTAAGCTTTTGTAAATTGTTCTGAACGAGTATTGTTCTTTGAAGTAAAGATCATTAATTTCTTATCGCCAACTACCCTTAGCCTGGGGCTATGGACTATCACTGCGAAGTATGAAGATTCTCTGCATAACTATACCACGCATTTCGAGGTGAAAGAATATGGTAAGAGAATTGGATCAGTGCTATGATTGCATAATATCTGAATAGGGGTTCCAGTAGAACCTGGTGAAAATGTTATCACGAGCTGAGTTCCCGGCAGACATAAAATACACAAATGAATGCAGCTCTTTATTCATTAAAGGAGAACTATGGGGTTATGGCTTTTCACCATAGTTCTCTTTAGGGTAACGGGAGGACACAAACTAGCGTCCTCCCTTCACCCTAGGCTCAGTATACCGCGAGCTACAGACTTACAGCTGGCTCTGCCTATCTAGAGGCAGAGCCAGCTGTACCCGCCCCCTCCCCCGTCCGTTCCGCCAGTCAGCGCTGGCAGATCGGAGTGGGGAATCCAGCCCCTCTCGATCCTGTCACGGCTCTCTGCCGTGACAGGGTCGAGAGGTGAGCGAACGCCGGTATGTGTTCGCTCACCTCCCGATCTACTGAGCCAACCTGTGACAGTCTCATTGTCACAGGTCGGCTAGAACTAGTTCTCCTTTAATACATCATACATTTTTTGTGTGTGAAATGCAACAAGTGTAAGAAACTAAATTGGACTTGTTATTAGACTTTAGCAATCACCTATAATACAGCAATTAGCCTGAGAGAGGGAGGTACAGGACTGGAAGCCAATCAGGTGTGACAAAACAAAAATGCTGATAAGGAAAGAAAGGAAAGAGGTAATTGAGGTATGACTTCATTGGTCTACTGCTACTCCTGTCCAATAAGCCAGCTGGGTGTGGAGAGAGGACACTACTGCATTCACTAAAAATGGTGTCATAATCCAGGTTGTGCTCAGGGCCAGTGCTAGGTTTCCTGCCTACACAGGCAAGGTGCATTTTTGCGCCCCCCCCCCACTCCCCGACCCTGACCCCCTGTAAAAACAGGGCATTTTGACAAGTACCCATTTGAGAGAGCTGAGGGGTGTGGTGTAAGTGTGCTGAAAATTGATGATTATTCTAGCTTTAGTGACCGAATAATCAGGATTTTATTAAAGACAGGAGGCGAATATTTTGCATAACTTTCTTTACTTGTCCAGATAGATGATAGAGCGGATGCCTCGGGAGCGTAAAAAGGCGATCACCGGTTTTAGCAATTTGGTGAAGCACCAAGGGGCGGAGCTCAGGCCGAAGGGAAGGCAGGTGAACTGCCAAAGACGGGAGTTCCAACGAAAACGGAGGAAACGCCTTGAGGCTGTTATTTTACATTAGTACAGGGCTCAAAATTTCCACTCGCCTGCTCGCATTTGGCGGGTAAAAATAAGGTGAGGGCGAGTGGAAATCTGGGTCTCTAAGTACCGGTCCGCGGGCCAACTCAGGCCCGCAAGCCGGTACTATGTGGCCCGCAGCCAGCTGATATGTCAGGCACACGGTCGCAGACTAGCAGCTCCACGGTCTGCATCTGTGTCGGATGCAGACCACAGAGCAGCTCCTATCAGCTCTGGCTTCCTTCGGCCGTACCTCTGACAGTTCTGAGCTCCGGCCGAAAGAAAGAATGTATGCAAGCAGGATCGATCCCTGGTTATCTGGGGGTGCTTAATGAGGTCTGCTGCAGACCTCTCTAATAACCCCCAGATAAGCAGGGATCGATCCTGCAGTGCTCACAGCCTCCTCCCTGCAAAGACGTGAACAGGTGAGGGGATGAGGGGGCAGGGGGGTGTTTGCCCATACACCTTACAACCATCGCACGACTTTCATTGTGCGATGGTTGTAAGGTTATTAATATTTCGTACGATCTGCCCATCTTGGACAGGCAGATCGTACTTGCGATCATCGCAAGTCCTCCCTGCTGAGGGGAGGGCTTCCGATGATTGCAGCACTGAGCGGGCCAACCCACCAAAAATCGTGTGATTTTCAGCAGGTTTTCCAGCGCGCTCGGAGGACAAAAGACGTGCGACCTTACAGTAGAAGCGGTCGCACGCTGCCCATAAACCTGCCGATTATCGTACGATCGCGGGATCGCCCACAACTATGGTACGATAATCGGCAGGTGTATGGGCACCTTTAGTGTATGTGTATCATAGGCCCCATTCACACCTACAGTATATTTCAGGTGTGATGGGCAGATTAGGGATTCCTGCTGCAGGAAAATGCAAGTTCCTAACGCAGGAATCCCTAATCTGCCGTTTACAAGCAGCAACTATCATAAGATAAGAATTATCATAAGATTATTTAAGAGGGTGCGTTTAGGGGGGGAGTTAAGGCCGGGGCAGGGTAAGGGTTAGGTGGGGCAACTGGTGGCTAGTAACTCTTAAGGCATGGCTAGTAGCTCAGAACTTTAAATTTTGAGCCCTGCATTAGTAGACACTCCTATAAGGTCAACAACCCATAGGCGTGCTGAAGCGTTTTTGATATTTCAGTGGACAGTTTTCCTAACTGTATCAGTATTTCCAGATGACCATGCTTTACAACATAACAACCACCTTGTTATTTAGTACAATGAAATCACGATTTGATAAATATCACACATTCAATTAATCTTATCCCTTTCATGTGCCCAGTCCGGCTGTGGTGCATTATGGCATAGACATGTTTAGTATCAAACTGATTGTTAGTCTCTGATACATTAGTTATATAAACATATATCCAACACAGTCAAAGTTACTTGTAGATGTTTATTGTGTAGTTGTATATCGGACAGGCATGTTTCCACTGTTATTAGTAGGGCTTGGATTATGAGTCATTCTGCTTATGGGTTCTTTGACATCCAAATGGCCACTTACAACTGGACTCATTACCAGGCTGTAAAGATTCTGTGCTAAGCAGGATTTTTGATACGGCTAGAATTTTTACAATAGTTGAATGGTATTTATTATTGTCTGCTTGGGTCTTGAGCTGAGATGTGTTCTAGTGTGGGATGATATGAGATGTGTCTCAAAACTCTGCCTGACCCAACACACAAGATTTATATGTAATTGCCCTTTGCTGACTTCCAAATATTAGGAATTTGGAGAATTGAGGGTGGTGCTGGCACCATGCTCAGCATGAATCCCTCTTCTCCCCATTCGATTTGAGGATCATCGAACCTCATTGTTTTTACACTTAAGGCATTTTTTATTTTATTTAGGCAAAGCAGTGAGGGAATATAACCACTGTCAGATTTGCATTGCTCTCTGTGTGCCCTTTAGCAAAATTCATTCCCTCAAATTGTCCTGATCACCAATGTCACTTGTAACTAAAGTGATGGTAAGTCTAAAATTTTGAGTTGCCACCAGAAAAGGAATTGAAGGGAAATCTTATACTAGTGACACTTATTCCCATGAAAACTGACTAAAAGGGAATCACATTGAAATTCTATTCTCTCACAACCTGTTGATTCAGCAGAATAACAAGTAAGGGGAAATCTCCCTAATGAGAAAAATATGGCAAAAACCCCCCAGAAAATTGACAGAGGTTTTACCCTTCCCTACTCTATCCAAAATAAAAAATATATTGAATTTAGACATACTTTAATCACTTTGCTTTTCCTGTTTGATTATTGATTGATTTATTTTTTTCTGCAGCCTTGCCCAGCTTTGAAATAAAACTGACACCACACAAGAAGTTCTTTCACATTAATGATAAAGAGTGTGAAATTGGGATGCAAGCTCGGTGAGTACATGGAACATAGTTTATATTTCTAGTTTATGATGCCTGTGTGTGTTCTAGTGATCAGTGATCTCTATCAGGGGTACTCCAATACCGATATCGGTATTGGTGCTGATACTGGGCATTTTCATGGGTACTCATACTCGTGAAAATGCCTTGATACTAAGCGCTGATACCGGTGCTTTCAATTTTTAAACACAAGAGACTACTGCAAGATCCCACTCCTTCTGGGGACCTTGTGGCACTGCTTACAGCCAGCCACACATCTTCTCCTCCTCCTTCCTGTGGACCTCCACTGCCTGCCTTCAAACCCCTGTTGCGACGACGCACAGCCCTCCTACCGTACCACCCCAGATAGCCCTGGTGAGATGCGGCACAGCCCTCCTAATACTCTGTGCAACCATGGCGAGACACCGCACAGCCCTCCTAACACCCCGCACAGCCCTTGTGAGATGACACACACCCCACACCTAAAGCTTTGTTACCTTTTGGTGTGTGATTTTTGTATTTGCACTATTCTTGACATTTTCATTGCTATGATGTAAACAGTAAGACTTTTGCCGGTGTAATCCACGTTTTCCTTCATTTATTTTTAGTTACCCAGGTGGAATGTCAGTCAACGGAAAAGCATTTGTTGTGTTCGGTGTGAAAACAGAAAACTCAATGAAAAACCTACAAGATTCCTTGAGAATGGAGTGAGTAAGATTTGTATAACTATAAACATTATTTTTAGAACATGTAACTTTGATTCATGTGATTCTTTTAGACCCCGTTCACACTGTCATTCTGCATTAATGTTAATGCACCTTCACAACACACTTGCATTGCAGCTCAGTCCGATACACTGCAATGTACTTATGTGCATTGCTTTGCTTTGCTCTGCCAAAAATGCTGCATGCACCTTTGGTGAGATAGGCAGTCCATCCAAATGTCCTAATGCAATGCACATTAATGATTGTGTGCTAACACAGCGCAAAAATGTGAACCAAGTCTTAAGTGTAATGTTTATTATGTTGCATGTAGAGTTCACATGCTAAATGTAGAGTTTACACCCTAGTATACCACATATATCCTCCTTTCACATCATACTTACCCAGTGACCTGCCAGATTAACTGGCTGGACTTCCATTTCTCAATTATAGAAACATATTACTAAGATAGAGTGAATCAAGAGATGGGCAATAAAAATGGTGAAAGGTCGGAGGGATAAAATATATCAGGAGAGTCTGGGGGAATTTGATATGTGTGGTCTGGAGGAAAAAAGGGAGAGGAGGGAGATGACCGAATCCTTCAAATACATTAAAACAGTAGTAAACCACTACGTCCTGATTAGGCTTTTCCCATATTGTGTATGTATGCTTTGCATTCTTGTACATTATGCAGCCATCTCCACCGCCACCACTTCCGAGTTGCTTGGGAATCTTCTTAGGGCATAATTACCTTACAAGGGCGCCCTTCTCTAGCACTCTTCGACAAATCCTCTGTCTGCTGCTCGACTCTCCACCGCCGCCATCTCCACCACCACCCCTTCTGAGTTCCATGGGAATCCTCTTCGGGCATTGGATGGCCATTCATGAAGCCACTCCTGCTCATGCACACCGTTGCTTCATCCTCACCAGCTTCAGGCCCATTCACAACATTTTGTGTCCACAAGAATACAAAATCTCCAGAGGAAAGAGGAAGAAGGTTTTTGGCAGAAGACACATTGCATGAGCCTTCTGCCAAATATCCCAACTTCCTAGGAATTCTTTGTTTTTTAACTTTTCTTCTACTTTAAGGGTGTAAATAAAGTTCAGGAGTTCAGTATATTCAGTATGAAGCTAAGATCACAAACACGAGGTCCTGACCTCAAACTCTCAGGAGGAAAGTTCAAAGCTAACCTTAGAAAGTATTTTACCGAAAGCGTAGTTAGTTGATGCTTCGAACAGACCTTCCAGCAGAGGTAGTGCGTCAGTCAACAGTAAGTCAATTTACAAGAACTCCCTTCCCTATACACACAAAAAAAAGTAAACTCACTGGGTCCTTTTCTGCCGTCTCTATTTTATGTCTCTATGTAATTTAAAACTGATTTAAACTGCAGGCTGAATGCACCTTGACCGTCGACACAATCCCATACCGTGATTCCATGTTATGGTTTTATGACTCAGATTTGAACCAACAAAGTCTGAAGGCAAAATATATTACTATAGAAAATATATAAAATAAAGAACATTCCTTAATCGGTATCACGTACCTTGGTGTGAGCCTGAAGTGACGAGGAAGGTCTTCCCTTGCAGCTCTCGTCTGAGCCCCACTGGAGATGGAACAGTAGTTCTACAGACAGAGAGGGGCTGGTATGACTGTTTGACACAGTGGATACGCTGATGCTGAAGACAGGATGCCAGAGGTAGCTGGTGGTCGCTGGCAGATCAGACGACACTGGTGTGAGGAGCTGAAAGGTAGTCAGGAACAAGCCAGATTGGTAACGTGCGGTCAGCGTGGAACATAAGCAGGAGACAGAAGCGAAGTCAGGAGCAGGCCGGGTCATACACATTTTCGAGCAGAATGGTCCAAATCAGGAGGCAGAAGAATGGTCAGAGACGAGCCGAGGTCACAAGGCAGGCAGCAAACAGACACAGTCAGTAACACAACAGGAATCAAGCTGGGTCAAACGGATATCAGGAACAGAATCACAGATGCAGAGTACAGCTGAAGATCTCTCAAGGTGCAGATGCAAGAGCCATCTTTAAATACCCCACCTGCGCCAAGAACAGGCGTGCGCACGCTACAGCGCGTGAGCATCGTTTTTGCGCATTACTAGCACCGTAGTGCTGAATACGCACATGAGCATAGTTTCATGCAGCAATCCAGGCAATAGCTGCACTATGGGCACTGACTGATGTACCCTGACAATCGGTAGTCATAAGGTATAAAAACAACACACATAACTGAGTGTGAAAGGTGGAAAGCATCTCATCATTTTTAAGGGAAATATAGGGCAGTTTTGCCATTTCTTTTCTGTATTATAGTCAGATCTACAAAATGACATTTTATCAAATATTAGCAGGTTTTTTTTAATGACAGATAAATATGAAATATTGCATATATTCATATATTTGTTTCCAACCAGCATGTGGGACTTTAGACTCATTTTCACAAGTTTCCCAGGCTGACCTTTTCTACTTTGTTGGGAAAGCTAAGCTATATAGCTCAAACTGAAATTTACACACAAAGAATAAGATAAGATAGATAAGTTATCAGTTACCACACTAGATAGCTCAATCCAAAGTTTCCATCTGACAAAGTGAGCCTCAATGAAGGCAGATGTAAACTAAAAAACAAAGTGCACAGTTCATCATGCGTCCCCACAATCCACATTTGGTGGATTGTGGATGACTCTCTCCTGGAGTGATAAGCTCAAAAACTGTAGAACCAGCACACAATGATCTTCCAAAGAAATTCAAACTTTATTTAACATGCATCTGTACAAAGAACAACTGCTGACGCGTTTCTGCCTTACTCGGGCTTAGTCATAGCTGCTATGCTTTCATGCTAATTCTGCTTTTCTTTGCTGCTTTTCTGGCCTTAACTTCCAGATTGCTGATGGTGAAGGGAAAGCCAAACTGCATAGAAAAGACCTTGTGAAATATTTCAAGTCTTCAGAAGATATGCTGGGATCAAGCCTGTATGTCATGGTGTCTGTCATCACTCAGTCAGGTAAGGTCACTAATGAACACCCTGTAACAGAAATGTTTAAAGCTGAACTGCAGCCAAACAAATAAACACACAATTAAAATACATATAATGCAGTCTTACCTGCCAAAGGGCTTATATTTCAGCTAATTCAGTCCTATGATTTACATGGCTCTGCCAGACTTTCCAATCAGACCGGTGACTTGACTTTTGGTCACCTCACTGTCCCACAGACACTGATTGGACAGTAACTGAGCAGCAGCTCATCTGTAAGCAGGGCTTTCTCTATGGTATTTGCCACCTGAGGCAATGTGCTGTCGTTCCGGCTGGGCGTGGGTGCTGGCAGGGAATGGTCTCAGACCACAGACATGTAAGATTTGCTTTGTTCTGAATTGAAATTTGTACAAATATCTGCATATTCGGACATTCGGACGCATTCATCCAAATTTCCAAATTAAAGAAATAATGAAACCTAACGTATTCAAATTTTCTGATAACGAAAATCAGATGCATCTGATTTTTTTTCCGTTTATCATTCGGAACGAACCTTTGTTGTGAAACGTTAGCATAATAATAATAATAATAAAAAAACAAAACAGTGTGCCCCTCCCCAATTCATAGGAATTCCCCCTGGAGGAGGCAGCATAACTCTACGCCTCGAATTATCCAGAGCTGTGTTCCTCAATGGACGATAGAGAAAGCCCTTTAACTAGAATGGCCGAACCTGCCTCTTGCTAAGCTGTCCTTATAAGTTGAAATACATTTATACTAAGTTGGGTGAGGGACTGTAAGTAATTAATCAGTTGGAACTTCAAAATACACATGGTTTTTAGTGGAGATGCACTCTAGTATTGGTATCGGTGCCAATACTGAGTATTTGGGGGATTACTTGTACTCACCCAAATGCTCCGATACTTACCCCCGATACCAGAACCAGGAGATTTCCTCTAACCTGCAGTGACAAGTCATTACCCTCCACCCGGCTTCCTTATTGGCAGGGAAGCCGGCTCTTTGCTGTTTGGTCAGCTCCATGCTGAATGGCCTGGAACCCAGCTTCCCGCCCAATCAGCAGCAAGCTGACCAAACAGCATGGAGCCGGCTTTCTGGGCAATCAAGAAGTCGGGCAGCAGGTTATAACACGCTGCCCGGCTTCCTGATTGCCCGGGAAGCCGGCTCCATGCTAGCAGAAGTACCGGTGCATCCCAATTTTTTCAGTGAAAGCTTTTCACATAACAACAGACTTCTGTAAGTCTTATTATTATATTATTATGACTTCCATAATCATCAAGTCTCACCATAAAGATTTTTCGTACAACTGTAGAAAATGCTGTTTTTTTAATTACTTATCCTACCAATAACATGGCGTCTTTCTCTCCTACAGGAGTTAAAATGGTGGAAGCTATGCTAGACAATATACCTATTGTGAAATCTCCATATAAAATCTTCTTCACCAAAACCTCCAAACACTTTACCCCGGGAATGCCGTTTGACCTTAAGGTATGTCTAAGTGAGCAACAACCTGTATTATTCATTCAATGTTATTTATGGATAGAATAGCATAAGGATCGATAGGCTTTCTGCCTTTTACTTACCAGGAAAAGTTTTAGTTAACCCTTGCAGTGGGGCTACCCCATGCACTGCAAGGGTTAAGTGCTCATTTTTATCTAAGTGATAAAATAATAATGTTATACCGAACTCACCCGAAGCTCCAAGCCGGGCAGCTGTCACAGTGCTCCATTCAACCTGTCTCCTCCTCCACTGCAGCATTGGATTCTTCCTCAGCGTCCTCAAATCTATACGCTGTGTATAGACGTGATGATTTACAGGGCCTTGGACCGCTACCGAGGAGGGGAAGAGACATTGGTAGGCCCGGCCTAAGAAGAAGCTGGCTCGCAGCTTCGGTGAATATAACTATGCGTTTTTTTTTTTAACCTAGTGTAATGTTGCGGAGCTCACAGAGCACTCGCACAGCGTTTTTCCATTAACGAAAAGTCTTTATTGGTCTTTCAACAGCAGATACTCAAGGAAGTTCAACATACAATAGCTTTTCTTCAGCAGAATATATATATTGGCTAACCAATCACCGAGTTGTTCCATATACTCACGGTGTCCCAGTCATTTAATAGTTCTCTTTTGCAGCACTGCTGCTCCAGCCTCAATCTTCAGGGCGACTGTCTGGTTCCCCCAGACAACCTCAATAACGTGCCAATCCTCACAACAGCACCGTGCTGCACTGGCCTCTACACTGACTCCAGGGTGGAGCTCTCCTGTCTCCCAGGTGAGGCCCTGAACACATCCCAGCACACTCTTCATGAGGGATGTGCACAGGTGCACAATCAGGTGCTGGTCACTACCAAAGCACGGACCCAGGACTGGAGATTTCGTCCCACCCAGAGCTCTAAGAAATCTCCTGGCTCCAGGATCCCAACTAGGATCCAGAAAACCTGGAAAGGACTGAAAAGGCAGTTCTCTCCTGGTACACGTACTTTCTTCCTGGAGCCACTCAGCCCCTCTGGCTGAGAACCCTGGGTGACTTTGAGGCCACCTAACACCGTGGTATTGCCTCGCAATGCCACACTAGACACAAACGGTTCTTCTTTAAAGTATATCTAAAGCCCAAACCTTTTCTTTAGTTTTGAATAAAGTAGGGCTCAAGTTGTGTTATTGGCTTCAATGGCTTTGTTAATAAACAAAAGCAAACCTTTTTAGACTTATTTTGCCTGGAGTGCTGCATGGTGAAACTACGGGCCAAATTGTGACAAAATGTCGGAAATGTGAAATCGATATTTTTGGCAACATGGTTATTTTGTGTGTGTGTGTATATATATACAGTATATGATTAATGTTTGTGTCATTGGTTCATCAGTGATTAGTGTTTTGATCACTGGTGCGGCCTTGTCTTGAGTATAGCTTTGGTCAACAATACACAGAAAGGATGTCCTTGAGCTGGAAAGAGTCCAAAGAAGGGCAACAAAACTAATTAAGGGGCTGGAGGATCAAAGCTATGAGACAAGATCAATCAAACAATCAACAGTACAGCGCTAAAAGACTCACAATGTTACACCCAAATGGTGTTATGTTTTAAACGTGCAATAAAGTATCAAACTGAGTGTTCCAACTTGTTACAAATGTATATATATATAAAGGATGCAATGTCTGTTTGAACCTCTCTCGGAGGAAACACAAGTGCACCAATCAATACAGTTCAAGTGACTTTGACCGAGAGGCAAAAACCTTTGGCCAATCTGTTAGAAAAGGATCATGGGAGATTCAATAAAATTTTAAAGCCATACACCAGGCAAATGTATATGAAAATGTAATCTAGTTATGTATTCATTAAAATCATTTTATTTATTTAAAGACACTGTCACTTGCAGGACAAATGACAGTGTCTTTACAAAGCGCCCCCCCAACCCCCATACACTCACCTTACCTGCACACTCTCACAACTCCTACACAGCCAATGAGAGTACCTAGCACTTCCAGTTATGGGGGAGCATGTGATCTGCTTCCCCATGACAGTGCTTGGGCCTTGCAACCAATTACTAGGCCCGAACACTGTCACATGGCTATGTTGCCAACACAGCCGATCAGGGAATGCCTTTTGCAGACACTGTCACTCTGCTGTGCATGGGAAAGGTGACAGTGTCTCTTCAAACGTAGATAGTATAAAAACCTGAATCTTTCTCTATATTAGATTTCATTCATCGGGAATCAGACTGAAAAGGGGAGGGACAACAACATTAGCCTGTTAGGGTGTATTGCACTGCACAGTTCACGTGGACAGGGCTAGAATAATGGCACATTAGCGTGGTGAGGCTCCTTCATTCTCTGCTGGAGGCAGGTCAGTACCACACTGTATTGATCAACTACAGTGGAGGAAAGCGGTGTCTGGATTTAGATGTGTATTTAGCTGTTTGCCTGAAGTTTTGTTAGGTGGACTTTCTGACAGCCCATTGTTCCCCGGATTGCACTACCAGCACACTCTGGTTTACTCATTGCTGTTGGAGACATGCTGTTGAAGATTTGTCTGGTATTACAAAAATATAATATTTATGGTTTTTTTCACTTTTCATTAGGTGTTAGTAACTTATCCGGATGGGTCTCCAGCTTACAGAATCCCCGTAGTGGTGAATCCAGGAGCGGTAACAGGATTAACAGAGAAAGATGGAACTGCAAAGTTGAAAATGAACACACTGCCAAATAAAAGCTCCTTGGAAGTTGTTGTAAGTCATCTAAACCAAACTAATAACAATGTAAAAGTGAACCAATGATCTATTTTTATTACAGGTATTTATATAGCGCCATCGGTTTTATTCAGGACTTCCCATAGCATTCATTCACATCGGTCCCTGCCCTTGAGGAGCTTACAATCTAAAGTCACTGTCTCATATGCATACATACTGGAGCCAGTTTAGAGAGGAGCCAATTAATGTCTGTGTAGTGTGAGAGGAAACCCACATAAGCAGAGGAAGAACATGCAAATTCAACACAGCTAGTGTCCAGGTCCAGGCCAAATCTGGATTAAAACCTAGGACCTCAGTGCTGCAAGACAAAGGTGCTAACCACTGGGTTAGCTTAGGGGCTTCCTCAGGGATAGTGAGCAAAAATATTGACGGCTAAATTTACCTGAACCATGGTCACATCGCACCACCCCCACCCCCCTTCTGTGATCTGTGACTGGGCAAGTCCCATCAGCCACCAATAATATAGGTTGAGAGGACACTGTAGCATGCCTCCAGTACATGTTAAGCTTTTCTCCATGCTTTCGCAGCTTCAGAAATTGGGGTCTATGTAGAATGAAAAAGAATGGAAACATTTTGGTACATGTTTCACTGGTCTCATCGTGTAGTTCTTGACTTTTCTCTCTTTTTATATTTCATAAGGTTACTACAGCTAAGAAGGATTTACCTGATAGCCACCAGGCAAAGGCTACAATGACAGCCACAGCATACAAACCGCTACCCGGAAGTGAAAATTATCTGCACATTAGTGTGCCCTTGGCTCAGGTTAAACTTGGAGAAAACATAAATGTGGACTTCAATATCAGGAGCACGAATGAGAACATCCCACATGTGACCTACCTGGTAATGTGAATAAGAGTAATTTATTAGGCTGACCAGTATTTTTAATGTGTGAAAGCCTTTAGATATTAGTTCTGCACATATTTGGCATTTCATTTTTAGCAAAACCGAGTCATAAACAAAAATCCAAAGTGAAGCAAAATGACTAAACCTCTTGACATGCAAAGTAGTTTAGAGGCCAGGGCTCATACTGTAGATGAGTTCCACCTCATTATCTAAGAATAGGGATGAGTGAAATAGAGTTTTCATGTTTCTAAATATTTCTGCAAAAATATGAAGATTTCTGCTAAAATTCTCTATTTTGGTAAAATGAATTGCAGTCAATGGGGAACACCAAAATGAAGGTGGTGTATGGTTGTTTTCTAAGGGTTCAGTGGTCTTTAAATGGCTCCGGTAGTTTAATGGAAGCTCCTGGATGCCACAAAACATACCAATAGTAGTATAATTTTTTTTACATCTTTTAAAGAAAGAAAAGAACACTCAAACAAATTTAAACACAAAATGTAAAGTGACAGATAATGATAAACATAAAATATACACAATACACACAAAAAGGATAAACACCAATACAAACAACGCCACATTAAGAAAGTAAGCTACTTTTTTTCAAGCAAATTTGGTCTAAACAGCTCTGCTGAATTAAATTTAGAGTCTAAATGTAGAGTTTACTAAGAAGTGAAAACACCATATGCATCCAAAATCTAAGGGTCCCCTCGGGGACACAATAAAGTCTATTACTCGCACTTGCAGACATCTCATGTTGCAAAAATGTGCTATTGTTGTTACTTTAAAATCACTTAGGCTAGGCCAGGTTCACTCTAAAGCTTCTCTGGAGAGAGAATGGCCCTTAGGTGGACCTATCACCAACTTTACAAGCTGCCTAAATATAGGATAAGAATTCTATGCGATTGATGGAGGAAAGCATTCTTCCCTCCTCCAATGATCATTTACTTTGACTGTTGTAACATGGTGACCACACACCTATACAGCATGGATTGGCATTGGTAAATTATCCATAGACCAGGATCTTAGTCCAAGTAGACACTGACACTGGAGGGTGCTGTCATTTTGGGGTAGAAGCATGATAAAGGATTTTCCAGTAGTTGAGATTGAGATCATGGAAAATCCCTGATTAACGTTGATAAATGTATGAATAGTTCCTTCATATGTTCTCCTTCTCCAGATTTTAAGCAGGGGACGCATCGTGGCTAAAGGCAGAGAAGAATTTGATGAAGGTCAGACCTTTCGCACCTTAACATTGTTCATCACAAGTGACTTCATCCCATCTTTTCAACTGGTGGCCTACTATGTAGCAAACACAAGGGTCGGACATGAGATTGTATCTGATGCTGTCTTGGTGGATGTGGCGGATTCCTGTGTTGGAACGGTGAGCTAAGGGGTCCTGGTTGAGGCTGGAAGGCCTAAATCAGCCTAATTTGTATGGTTGCAAACTGGAAAGCAACAACTTTCCACTTTAACCCAATCATGACCAAAGGTCACTGATGTCTTGATGCCTGGTGCCCATAGGCATCAGGTAACTTGACAATAACTCTACAACTAATTTGACAATCTAAATACTTTTTCCAAGGGACTGTCAAGGCTTTTGTTCAACAAACACCCTACTTATGTAAACAGCTTATAATATTTGGTTAGACTTATCTCAGTTATTTATTTTTTCACTGCCTGTATTTATGTATTTTACTTTACTAGATGCAGCCTGTGCATGGCATAGTGACAGCTGTGCCAGCAGGCCTGTTTTATAGCACATGATCCCACATGATCACCATGATTGGCAGCCATAGTGACCACATTACCAGGAACTGACAAGAGCAGTCTCCAGCTTTTAGCTTTTTCAATGTCAATAAGAAAACATAATTTCTCAGACCAAGGAGCCAGTTCCACAAAGGCAGGCAGATTAATGTTCCATCAGCATGGGGCATTATGCTCATGAATATTAAGCTACAGAATGTGGGTGGCTTGTAGTCGGGAACGAGCTTGGAACAGTGGATCGTGCTTACTCCCTCTAGTGGTTAATGATCAATTTATTTATTTAATACAATATCTAAAATATGGAAAAGCAAACATGTAATAAATGTAAAAAAAAAATAACAAACAAAAGACCCTTAACTTTCCAAGACATTAATCATGTAAAGTGACACTAAACTCAAGACATTAGTCTAAAAAATGCAAGTAACTTAACTGATAAAAAAACTCTTATTTGTGTATCACTCGGCTGTAGATCCTCAAATCATCTCTGAATTGGTGCTGACACTGTCCTTCCTTCTGGAGGGGGGCTACTTTTGGTCCCAGTGGTCCCTGTGTGTGTTATGAAGTAGTCACCGGTCCAAGCTCGCTCCTGTGATTGACTACAATCTCAAAACAAATGAGTAAACTAAACGTGAGTCCATCACGGGAGCGATCTTTTTAGCGGTGACTACTCTACAACGCACACAGGGACCATGGGGAACAAAAGTAGCCATCACTCCTAGCTCGCTCCCGTGATGGACTAGAACAGTGTCAGCACAGGTTCAGAGATGATAATGAAGATCTACAGCTGAGTGATACCAAAATAAGCTACATTTTTGTTGAGTTCTCTCATGCCTGTGGGTTAAGCATTGAAGAGAAGTCTCCCACTGGGGACATGGGCAGCAATTAGAACCTGACAGATGTTCTAACCCTTGCACACACTGACATACATGTTGTAACTTGAGTCCTTCACTCTATGGCATGAATCTATGTCAATATTTCCAGAACTGAAAGATTTTATGAAATGTCAATTATTTTGCCACACAGCTGGAGCTGACTGGCAACAAAGCAAGTGACAACAAAGCACAAATTCCTGGAGGAACCATGAGGCTAAAACTGAGAGCAGACCACAATGCCAAAGTGGGGCTTGTGGCAGTAGACAAGGGAGTCTACGCGCTCAACAAAAAATTCAAGCTTTCACAAACCAAGGTAAGAGCACTGACTTAGAGCTCAGTCCCATCAACAGCAGGATATGAAATATAGTGAGGTGTTATTTGTTTTACCTTTTCACAACTATTGTATCTATTGATAGTTTTGTTTTGCCCGTGGTTTTTTGTTTTTGTTTTGCGATTTTTGGTGATTTATGATGCCTAGTTGTTGCCTTTTATTGCAGCTCATTTATGTTCTGGTTTGAGACTTATTTGGGGCTAGACATGTGCGATTCGTTTCGTTCCGAACAAAAATTCAGACGAATTTTCAGAAATTCGGACATTTCCAAATCCCAATGCATCCAAATGTGCCCGAATCTGAATTTCCATTTCTGAATTTCGGATCCAGTCCGAATTTCATTAAAAAATGAAACTGAATCTGACGTGGGAATTTTCTGGCCAATCAGATGTGTTTTTCGGTTTAATGCATCCGAATGGGTCTGAACACGAATTTCTGTTACGGCAGCATGGGAGCCATATACAGTATATACATATAATACTAAAGCTGAGGTTCCTCGACCCAAATGGCATTCGGGATCCGAATTTCCGAATTGCATTCAGGAGCTCTCGAATGCCATTCGGGTCTGGGACCCTCAGCTTTAGTATTATATGTATATACTGTATATGGCTCCCATGTTGCAGCAACTAACATTCGTGTTCAGACCCATTCGGATGCATTAAACCGAAAAACACATCTGATTGGCCAGAAAAGTCACATGTCCGATTCAGTTTCATTTTTGAACGCAATTCGGACTGGATCCGAAATTTGGAAGTGGATATTCAGATTCTGACACATTCGGATGCATTGGAATTTGGAAATTCAATGTGTCCGAATGTCGGAAAATTTGTCCAAAACGAATCGCACGTGTGTACAGAGAACACCCTAGAAAAGAAGAGGCTCCATACTTGCCTTAGGAGATTCAGCTTTAGTATTAATATCTGTATATGGTTTTCTGTGTTATTCGCAACGAATATTCGTAAACTCATCCGAAACTAACGAAAATTCGGATTACGTCTGAATCTGAAACCCGAACCAAATTGGATTTCGGATCCGAATTCCGAAATATCAGAGCCAAACCGAATTTTTCCGCAGCTTACATGTCTATTTTGGGATATTGGTGGTATAGTCCACCACTGGAGAAAATAACTATACTTTTTTCCTATAACAGGTGTGGGACTCATTTGAGAGATCTGACATTGGTTGCACCCCGGGGAAGGGTGCTAACAGCATGCAAGTATTTTATGATGCTGGGCTGGCCATACAATCCAATGTTGGATGGGAAACCATTCAGAGAACAGGTACATTTCATACTGTATATAAAAGCAAAACTAAAGTCTTGCCTTTTTTTAATCCTAGAAGGTTATTTATTGCTGAAGAGACTCTGTATGTCTCTTCTGCCATAAGAGTGTCTGCCTTGCCTGCAAGCAGTTTCCTTCTGACTGTACATTGAGGTATGTGTAGAATCTCAGGATGCCTTGGATGCTGGGGCAAATCAGATCCAGTGTGCATGTGTAGAAGTTACATCATACCCAAGCTGGCCAATCAAGATGGCCAAACCCAGAAGTAGACCTAGTGAATGTCCCAACAGCGGCGTTGGAGTAATGAGGGAGATTGGAGCATTGCATTGCTGGAGGAGGCACTTTAGAAGGTAAGTGTGCACAGCATATTTGTGCATTATAGCAAAAGCCCAACCACCATGAAAGTTTCACTTTAAACTGTATACAAACTGAATTTGCAAACATGAATACAGTATACATTAGCTTATCTTTCAATGAACAAAAAAGTGCTGTACTCTTTTTGTCTAGTAGTTCTGTATCTTACTCTACAGAATTCCTCTCTCCTCATCTTCATTCCTTGGGATTTTAATGCAACATAGGCAGCGTTGTCAGCTCCAACAGGAAGTTAGGAGCTCACTGGATTTCTGAAAGTTCAATAGATTTTTTTATATACTTGCTGTATTTTTTAAAGCAGAAAGCATTAGGGAATTTGCATGTATTACAGAGATGTGCTATCTATGTTTTTTAAGCATTTGCCTTGACATACACGTTAACCACTTCAGGACCATAGGTTGTACCTGTAGGTCATGTTTTTGAAGTGGTTATACCAAGATCATGGCTGCAGCTTGGTGTCATTTACTTGGAGCAGGCAGAGGGTTTTCGAGTACAAGTGATCTGAGTGGCTGCACTGGCTTGTATGTTCCATAGTTTTTAAAACATTGTGCCACTTTTTTAAGGCTTGACATTAGGGATGCACCAATATGTGGGCCGCCGAAACATATCGCCCGAAAATGGCACTTTTGGCAAAATGCAGAAAGTGACATTTTGTTGGCCGAAATAGCGATGCATCCCTTCTTTCTCTCCTCCCCGCTGAGCGCTGCTCTGTGTCCCGACTGGGAGGGGAGAAACTGTCACAGGAGGCCGAGCACTGCGGGAGGAGAACGCTGTGAGCAGCCGGCGTCTCTCCTCCCACACCGCTCAGCCTTCTGTCACAGATCAGGAGAGCGGCTCTGTGGGCGGAGACGGCCATTGCTGTCACAGGAGGCTGAGCTCTCCTTCTGCACTGCCCCGTCCAGCCTCCTGTGACACTGTGTCAGGATGGAGAGTCCGTTACAAACACTCAGCGATCAGTGTTCACTGAGTGTTTGTAAATAATTGAGGACATGGTATGCTTACAGTGTCATCTATTATGAATGAACAGGAAGTGATCTACATCCCCTCCTGTTCATTCATGATTGTGGTTATAGTAAACATACTCTGTCCTCATGTTATGAATGAACAGGAACACTCAATATAGAGGATTCCTGTTCATTGATAACAGGGGCTGCAGAAAGAGATTGAGGACTCTGTGCCCTCAATCTCTTTTTCTATTTTAAAAGGTAAATATCAGGGGTCTGCTTAGACCCCTAATATTTCCCCGGAGCCCCTAAAAGCAAAGTAAAAAATAAAAATATTTAGTAAAAATTAATGAATAAATAAAACTAAAATATCAAAATAAATAAAAAGTTTATAAAAAAATAAATACAATTAAAATATTTAAAAAGTTTTTAAAAAGTAAAAAAAAAACATTTTTGGTTTCGGCCTGACATTTATTTTATTTCGGTTTCGTTTTGGTTTTGAAATTTTCATTTCGGTGCACCTCTACTTGACATGTTTGGTATCTATTTACTCAACATGACCCCATCTTTTATATTTAAAAAAAATTTGTATTATATTGTGTTTTTGTGTACTAAAATTAATTTTAGTGTATGTTTTCATAAAAAATATCAATTTGATAAACATTTGTGCAAATATCATGCAACATAAAAAATTGCAGCTACCATTTTATTTTTTATTCTACAGGGCCTCTGATTTCAGAAAACATGTCATTGTTTGAGGGTTTCAAAGTAATTTCCTTTTATCATTTATATTAAAAGATCCAAACAGCTATGGACAAGCTATTGTGTAGATATGTGTTCTTCTTCTACCTAAGACATGTTATTTATTTTTAACTTCATTACAGAGCCTCTATGTCAAATCCATGAAAAGCGGAAACCTCGTTCTACCGTCGTTATAATTGAACACAAGATGAATAAGGGTGAGTGAGAGAAATGGTTTGTTTATTGAGTCACTTGATTGAGATCTGACTGCCTTTGAATAGGTCAGTAAGTCTTCTAATGACCATAACGTGGTGCACTCAAAATATATGTAATGGTTTTTTAATATATTTATATGCCAACCAAATCTGTGAGGAGACTGCTTGTTCTTCTGCCTTTCCCAGCCTCGCAGTACCAGGACCTGGAGAAGAAATGTTGTTTGGATGGAATGCATGAGAATCCGATGCGGCATAGCTGTGAAAGGCGGGTCAGCCTCATCCTGGATGGAGAGTCATGTAGAAAAGCCTTTCTGGACTGCTGTATCTACATTGAGAAGAAAACGGAGAGGAACCTCAAGAATTACAATGATCTTTCAATAAGTAAGAAGTGATATTGCTGACCTCATAAAGAATCATAATATACCACTTGATAGACAATTGCTGTACTGGGTAAAAGTGTAACATAAGGCAAAGAGAAGCCAACATCAGTAAATAAAATTAAGTAAAAAGCGTAAGTAATAATTAATAATTGGAAGCACTTTGTAATGTATGGGGGTTTAAAAGCCCATCTCTGGGAAATACTCACTTTTTAATCTAAACATTCACAAAACCCTTCCTAAGACCTTATCCAATTACCTAAATCTGTCATCACATGACCTTCTGTGGTTACAATTCTGGTAGTGGAATGCAGTAAAAATGGCTAAAGCTTGGGCTCACTGCCAACTAGTCTTGTTACCCCTCGCCGTGACATCATTATGACATTGCTGTTGTCTTTAGGACCTTGTCAGGGCCCAACCAATTGACCAATGGCAGCAAAGTGGGCAACCAAAGAAGACTTAGGACCTGACATGTTGTGTGACCATTTAGATGAGCATTTATCTTTTATTTTTTATTTTTTTATAAATGGGCCAATATATTAGAGGGGGGTGAGGCATTGTTTGTGGAGGGTTCGCTGTCTGTAGTTACAGTGTATCTAAACCTAAAAACCTAAATGTATAATATTGAAGCTTACTAGTCCTTAGATGCGGTGGCTGCAGTAGGTTTCTTGTTTCAGGCTAAGAATATTTTCAGCGAATACAGAAAGTACCTGTTGATCTTGCCAAAATTGCAGTGTCCTTGCCACTTTCCGTGAGCTGGAAAGATAGAAAAACAATCTTACTTTTGTGTGAATGACTATTCCCATTATTAATGGTTAATGTAATGGAGATGAACATAGGCAGACGTGTTTGACGTCCAGCCTGGGTGGCAACCATGGAATTCTTCATAGATACAGTGGATGAGTAGATGTAGCCACCTAGGGGCATGAAGTGTGTTAACCTTTAAAAAGAATTAGAAGTTACATTTGCTTGTTGGTTACAGAAGTAGTAGATTCTGCATCATTACTGTCCTCGGTGAGGTCCATGATGTACAGTCATTGTGCTATAGGTTACTGAGATCAGTGGTCAATGACATGCTCTGTGAGTTTCCTCAGGACAGTTCTGACTCATCCAGGTCATTAGTCTGGGACTGCACTGAACACTTCCAAATCTGCAAACTTTTCAAAATGTGAACAGTGCATTCGGGTTGACTGCTACTGATTACTGTTAAATATGTTTGTATCTTTAGCTAAAACAGATTCTCTGGTAATGATATACTTATTGGAGGGCTTTTAATTTGTGTACAGATTGGGGAAGGGTCATATTGTCTGTCAGGCTTTTATTGCGGTCTGTGTTCTCAACGTGGAGATTTAAAGTCACACTACCACCACATGGTGACTTTTATTTAAAGAACACCCAATAAAAGAAGAGGCTCCATACGTGCCTTAAAACGTTGCCCTTCTACGGCAGGTAATCCAGACTTCCCGGTATGCTAGTCCAGCTGCATTCTCCCTTCTTCTATAACTCATGGTTGCTTCAGTGACCATGTAATTATAACAGAGGGGCCCCCCAGACTCTTCAGAGTAAATGAATAGCTGTGATCAGCAGCTGACAAGCCACTGATAACAGCAATGCATTCAAAATCTGGAATGAATATGGGTGTAACATGACACATGGTAAGGAAAGGTAAACTTAGCCTTTAAAATATAATAAATTCAATTCAACAGGTTTTTAAACATTATACAACTTAAAAAAAAAAATTCAAGTCACTCAAGCTATATATGTGGGTAACTTTAAAGTCTCTATTGTTATTGCTATTATTACATATTTGTCAGTAGGGATGTTTCGGTATTGAGTAAGAGTACCAATATTTTGCTTTCGGTACTCGCCGATACCGAGTACCGATACCGGTGCTTCTGCTGGCATAGAGCCGCCATCCTGGACAATCAGGATGACGCGGGCGGGTTATGATATGCCGCCTGGCTTCCTGATTGCCCGGGAAGCCAGCTACATGTTATTTGGCCGGCTTGGTTGTGATTGGCTGTGAAAACGGCTTTACAGCCAATCAGCATCAAGCCGGCTTCCAGGGCAATCAGGAAGCCGGGCGGCAAGTAATGACCCACCTCCCAGCTTCCTGATCGAGTCGGCTCTTCGGCCGACTCGAGGCTGATTGGCCACAAAGCCGGCTTTACAGCCAATCAGCAAGGAGCCTGCTCTTCGGCCGACTCGATGCTCATTGGCCACAAAGCCGGCTTTACAGCCAATCAGCAAGGAGCCTGCTGTTCGGCCTGCTCGATGCTGATTGGCTGGGAAGCCGGCTTCACGGCCAATCAGCATGGAGCCGGCTTTCTGGCCAATCAGGAAGTCAGAAGGCGGGTCATTACTTGCCGCCCAGCTACCAGATCACATGTTAAGCTGGCTCCATGTTCCCCTACGGCACTGCCGGTCAGAGGAAAAACCTCCTCTGACCCGGAAGTTCCATTATCGGGGAAGGTATTGGAGTACTTTGACGAGTACTTGGCCAAATACTCGGTATCGGCGCATCCCTACTTGTCAGTATATTAATATACATATGCATTAGAATCGCTAAGATATTATAATACCATTCATTTAGTGCTGCACATATCACCTCCAACACTCGACTCGGGGCAAGCGACCTGGGCTAGTTGCCTGTGCTTTGTGGGGATGGGGGATGTCCTGTGTCATATTTTAACATTATGTAGCCAATAAACGATAAATGCTTTGATATATAATTCAGAGATTTAATTTGTCTTATGTGTGCACCCAAAGTTCTGGCCTTCGTGATATAATCTCAAACAGTAGGAGCCCATCCTTTTGAAAAGCTACATACATTATAAACAAAGAACAATAATCTTTTGTTATATTTAGTTGCTGAGGGTACTGACTACATGGAAGGTGACAATATAATGACCAGGACAGCATTCCTAGAGAGTTGGCTCTGGATGATCGAGACCATGACCAATAGACCAGACCATAAAGGGTAAGCATGCTGTAATTTGCTGTAGATGTTAAAATCATGTGTAAAGCTAAAGATCTATCTTTCTTTTTTAGTTTTAGATATAAAGCAGAAGGGTTACTTTTTTTTAATAAATCAAGTAGTCTGAGTACCTGAACTTGACTTGGCATCAGCCTTTGACAATCCCCTGTATAGTAGAGCTCAATCTGGCGGATGGAGAAACAGCTCAAGGAGCTTTATTTTATATTTTTCACTTAAAGTGGTTTTGCCTTTATTGTTACCCTCACAATGCTTCACTTCTGTCCCCGGCTTCCTCCTTGGTCCACCACCAGCAGTCCTCTACAGGCAGAACATCGGTCATATCATTCTGCCCATTTCCTGTAAGCCCAGTCTGTCATTTACATGCCCCCTAGGGGAAAGTCATCACACAGGCTGGACTCACCACGCTCCAGGTTTGAGCAGTGCTCACATGACAGTACAAGAGTGCAGCTCAGTCCTGGAAGAATGCCCATCCTCCTCCACCACTGGTGTAAGAAGAGGAAGCTTCCTTGACATCACCAGACCGACTAGAAGACTGGAACAAAGGTGTATATATAAGTTTTTTTCAAATAAAAAAAACTGGTTGGGGGCTTCGAGGGTGAAGTGAGTACGTACCTAGAAATCTGCTTTAACTTTGTTACTATGTTATAATAAACAGGCAGTGACAGTTTCTCTTTATGAAAGTCCATATACCTTGCCGCACTCCTTACCGGATATCCCAAGAATTACGAGTGCTTGTAACGACTGCAGATGGCGCCGCTAGAAATCCAGAATCAATTGCAAATGTCACCAGCACTCCAGCACGAAGATATACGTCAGTGCAAATCCACTTTATTGATAGGTGTCTGTATGACATCTATCAATAAAGTGGATTTGCACTGACATATACTGTATATTCGAGCTGGAGTGCTGGTGACATTTGCAATAGTTTCTCTTTATGGAGACATCAGGGGTCTATTAGGCCCCCTGATATGTTCCCTCCACTCAGTCAAAGCAGTTTGGAGACAGAAAGTCACCCATCTGCTCTTTACCATGACCAAGATCTGACAGCTCTAAGCTGAGCACTTCCATGTTCATAGTGCACTGAGAAGATCTGTGAAAGAAACAGGAAGAAATAATTGTGGTCTTTTACAACATTATTTTTTTTCTTGCAGAATTTCCACTAAGATAATAAATGTTTTCTTGAAAGACTCCATCACTACATGGGAAGTACTGGCTGTCAGCATAACAGAAAATAAAGGTAAATATTGTACATATATTTTCTTTCTTTTTTACATTTTAAAGATCAATTTTAGGTTTTTATTTTATTTAAAAATTCACTATCTTTGCACCATTGCAATTGAAAAAAAATGCATCTCTGCCTGCAATACTCACCTTCTCTTCAGTGCTGTCCCCCACAGTCTTACCACACTATGAAAAAAATATGTTTATTGACTCTCACTTATAACTCCTAGTGGGAGAGGGTTAAGGCACAGGACACCCATGGACATGGTGGACCGCTTTAGTACGATGGCACTACCTAAGTTGCCTTCTGCCAAACAACTGTCCACTATTTTGTTATACAAGATGTCATCAAGACTTTATGGCATTCTGGTAAACATTCTTTTGCACCACAGATTCCAGTTCACCTACCAGTTTTGTAGGATCTTCTGTTCTCAGTTGGGAATGTACTTATATGTCTATTCTACATAGCACCCTCAATCTAAAGAGTGAATTGAGCTCGCTAATCAGTCCCTAGAAGGCTTCCTGTTTAATCTCTGACAGGCAAACTGAATGGGCCTCTTTCTTTCCATAGATAGTGCTTGCCTATAACAACTAAGAGCACTCCTCCTCTGGGGTCTCACCCTTCTTCTGTGTTTATGGCCTCCACACCAGGTTCTTTTCATTTTCTTCTCTCAGTTCTAATTTTCCAGAGGTCAGCAAGCTTGTGGACCAATTTTCTGCCATTTGGAAATCCATGCATACCAACTTTATGCATGCCTCTGCCTCCCAGAAATCCTCTGATAATAGCTTATGTTAGGCTTCTTCCACCTTCAAGGTTGGTGATTAGCGTGGATATCCAGCCACCATATCTCTCTCAAAGTCCACTCTCAGAAGCTAGCAATGATATTTGTAGGACCTTTCAGAATCATTACACAGATCTGTTTGTTTCTATATGAAACATTCTCCCTCCATGAGGATACCCAGCTCCTTTCATGTTTCTTTGCTGAAACCAGTCAACCAGGATACCATCATCTCCTCAAAACCTATGATTGCTGTAAATGGTCAGGAGAAATTTGAGGTAGGAGCTATTTCGGACTCCTGGAAAATATGGTATTCAACTTCAATAACTCATCCACTGGACAGGTTTCGAGCCTGAGTAACTCTCTTGGGTGCCAGCCTGACAAGCCTGCTTCTTTGGGACTGGTGGGGTAATGCTAGAAGTGTGTCTCATGCTTCTACTCTGCTTTCCCCATTCTACACACAGCCCCATGGCTAAGTCACCCTGAGCATCAGTTGAAGGCAACAGGCCCTGTGTTGCTGGCAACACTCCTTCCGCTCTCACTGGCCTTCAGCAGAAAACATCCTCATTGCTGGGCAGTGGCTCTACACCATAGAGCCTCTTGCTTAACACAGACATTCAGTGATTACATATTTTATTCCTCTGGCTCTTAGTGATGGGTCCAGGCTCTTAGCTTAGAGTTTGAGATATTATGTGACAGTTGCCAAATCCGTAATGAAAGGGGGATTGTTTGGCCCCAAAATGCATTGATTGTTTTTGGTATCTGTTTGACATCCGTGAATAATAAAATACTGATACGTGTGTTTGGTTATCTTTCTGTTTCAGCTACATGTGTATTTCTCAAGCCGCGTGCCCCTTTTTACTGGGAGGGCCTCTGATTTGTGGAGAGCCACTGCATTCATACAATCTAGGCCTAACTAAAGATGTTTCTTTTAAGAAACAAGAAGCCATGTCCAACACTTTGCTTCTACTTCTAATAGGATTTTCCCAGTGTCATTTAGGGAGATTTCTCCACTCTTTCTGTCAGAACAGCATGTTGATGAGGGGTAATGGAGGAACCCATGAATGCAAAATCTAAGCAGATTAAACATTAGCTTTAACATTTATTTTAGTTATTTAACTTTGTCTGTGACCAAAACCCACCGGGAAGACTTTCAGTTACTGGTTGTCCCTCTGTCACATGTATTAATAGTTGGTGTTGTGTTCATCAAGGAAGAAAGGCACATATCATGAAAAACATTGCTAAAAGTCCTACCTTCCACAGTTTACTAAAAGTATGCTTTTGTTACCAACTGAGTGGAGATCCTCACAGAAAGTGAGGGGGAATCGTTCTCAGGCTAGGTTCACACCTGCACTACACCGCACGACAACCGGGACACGCGTCCCGACATCGAGCGGTCCTGTATAATGCAGGCAGCGATTGCCGTGCGGCCCCATTGATTTCAATGAGGTGACATCCGCACGGCAATCACAGAAAAAAAGTCCCTTTTTTTCCGATACACGACCATGGCTGTTTTAGGAAGGAATGAAGGGTAGGATGGGGGAGTGAGAAAGAAGAAGGGATATAGAGGGTAAAGCCAGAGAGTGAATTGAAGTGGAGTATAGAAGGGAAGGGGAAATATCAAGAATATGGGCACTGGGGAATCAAGAAGGTATTTAGTAAGACCCAATTGATTATTCTTTCAATCTGAACATTGTACTGTTCGTGGCTGGATAGAGTTAAGCAGGTTATATCTGATTAATAACAATTTGCTGTATCTGTGATATTTTTGATCAGGTCTTATCTCGAGTACTGTAGGATGTGTGCGATTTTGGTAATGGGAGATTTCTCATGATTTATACTGCAGAAAATTCTCTGTTTTCCATTACCAGGTATCTGCGTTTCTCAGCCCTTTGACATTTCAGTCATGCCAAATTCCTTCATTGATCTGAAGCTGCCATATTCTGTGGTGATGAATGAGCAAGTTGAAATTCAAGCCATTCTCTATAATTATGACCTAAACAGACTTAAGGTCAGTCTAAAAATATATTTGTATCTTTCTCTGCAGTTTTTATTTGAATAAGATGTGAATGGATATGCTTACTTCCCCATCAAGTTTCAAGATGTTCAGATGGTTCTATATGTATTGTTCACAGAAATCTTCATGTGTTGGCAGTAAGAATGGGACTTTGTTGTCCATAGCCCTCAGTTGTATACAAAACTGTCCTGCAAAATGGCACCTGGAATCTTAAAACCTAAATTTGTAGGGATTAATATTATAAAACAAGTCCAATAGTTCAGGAACACAGAAAAACAAGGAGTACAGAAAAACGAAACCCCCTATGTACTGTATGGTCAAGGCAGTATTTACCATAATGGTATCCATGTTTCTGTCTTCTGCTTACCTCTGGACTTCTGAAGCGATATGAGGGCAGGTTGAGAAAAGTTAGAAGACTCTTAATAGTAATCTCTATTTTTTTTGTGTTGCCCCCATCATCTTTTATGAGGTGCTTACTAAACATTTAGTGATTGTGTCCTGGCTGGATTATAGTGGCATTTATCTGGTTAATTCCAGGTGTCTGGCATTGACATCCACCCCCTGGGTGTAGTGTAACTCTGTTGTATTGTGGGACAGCCAATAAGAGGCACTGTGAGTGTATGTACAGTACAGCAGCCAATCACTAGGTTTCTCTCAACCAACGGTGCATGCGTGATATAGGGTTGCCACCTTTTCTTCAAGCGAAACCCGAACATTCTAGCGATGCGCAGACATTTTAATGGGAGAATGCAGACATTTTAATGGGAGAATGAGTCGTGGATTATTCATATGTAAATATCACAGTTGAGACTATTTTTCAGTGGGGGGCTAGTAGCCCCTATCTTAATTTTGGTTGCCTCTGTCTGCCTGACATCTTGTGTCCGGGTTTCTGCTGCCATGAAAACCGGACAGAGCATTCAAAACCCGGACTGTCCGGGTGAATCCTGGACAGGTGGCAACCCTAGCGTGATAGGGTACATATATTGGAGGGAATTTCCATGTGCTCAGACTATTCGGGACCAACCATGGATTAGGGTTGGGTGCTGTCCAGTCACCCCCCCCCCCTAGGCTAGGCCTGGGGGTGGGCAGAGGCTGGAGTGTGGGAAGAGTTTACCTAGGCCTTGAGTATGGAGGAGGCCTGTGCTGTTACCAGAGGAGGAGAACCAGAGAAATTGATGTCTGCTGGAGGTGCCTGAAACATAGAAGACCTCTGGAGTATAGCTGGTGTCTCTCCTGCTGAGGATTTGTGCTCATCCCTGCCCATCTGTTACTCCAAATATTATTAGCTGTACCACAAGTGGATCTACACTGAGATGCTAACAAGGTCTGGTCAGTCTGGAATCTATGCCTGTTACACCCTGGATGTCTAGGATCCCTATACCCTCTCTCCCCAGTGTGAAGATGTTTAATAAAAGTTATTCAGCATTGCATGACTGGAGTGGACATCAGCTTTATGTGCACCAGAAGAGGGTGTTGTTCACTCTAAAGTGTATGTGCACTTTTGTGGCCTCTTTTGTATATTTTTATATTTGTTACATATTCTCATTCACATTATGGAACTTTTTTAAAACAAAACACTGCTTACATTTGAAGTGTTTTTTACTTGCTTAAAAATTCTAACTAGCTTCTCCCCCTATGGAGGAGGGTGTGCAAAGTTATGCTTACTCTAATGAACCCTGTCTGTGCTGTGCTGGAAGATCTTATTATCAGTTCTAAACTAGAAAAACAAGAAAAAGAAAGGACAGCGCCCACTCCTAGTGTAAAAAACGTTTTTTTAAAATAAAATATGAAGTGAAAATAGTCTAACATATAACTACTCACATTTGGATGAACAATTGTTAGAACACATATATCAAGAGGCAACCAGAAGCCTAACAATTGTGAAAGAAGCACGGTACCTCAGTATTACTGAGATGATTCTGGTCTCTCCCTCACTTTGTTCATTTGCTTTCACTTTCAAACTGCTCAGAGTAGCCTGGAATCTGCACAAAGGCCTTCACCAAAGACACATCTAAAAGATAGAAATATATATATATATTTGGTATTCTGAGTGAATGGGAACACATAACAAATATATAGAGGAGATTTTCCTAAATTTGACTGCAAAAGTGGAAATACTTTAAAGTGATATTAAAGGCAAAATGTTTTTTCCCTCCCCCCCATGTAAATGTTAGCACTTACCTTAAATGATGTCTCTTATTCTGGTCTTCCTCTTCTTTCCCCATGTTTTCATGTGTCCCTCCAGCGGTGCGGCGTCACTCCGATCCAGCGCTGACTGCTCTGTTCCTCCGATCCAGCGCTGTCTGAATGCGGGTGCACGCGTCCATAGACTTACCTTGCGTGTCTGCTCGTCTCCCGGCCGAGAATCAGAACTGCGCATGCGCCCGCCCCAAGATCCTTTGCGGCCGTACAAGCAGTTCCTGATTCTCGGCGCGGGAGCGAGCAGCGATAACAAGGTAAGTTTAAAATGATTTCAAGCGTTTTTTGTTTTTTTTTACACTTCTTGCCTATATCTAGTGCTTGCTAGCAGTAGATATAAGCAAAAAAAAAAACGGAGGGTTTAGAACCCCTTTAAGGTCAAAACAAAGGGGAGAAAATGGTGTGAATTCAAATGGTTCTAGATTATTTAAGAACTGTGCTCAATGAAGTACTGAGTAGGTGTGGAGGGTGTGGAGTCTGATTCACCAGGGACCCCCTCATGGAAGTGATGGGCTTCACTGCTGCTGACCGCAAGTAGCGACCCCATCATGCTCTAGTGCCTTGGACCAGGAATCAAGTAATGAAGGGCACAGGTCACCAGATAACAGTCCCAAGGTCAGTGCAGCAGATACAAATACCAGGAATTAGCCAAATGTCAACCAAGGTTTAGCCAATCAAGAAAAACTGTAAAGAGAGCTTTTTTGGCTCTCAAGGGAATGAAGAAACTTGATTGAAGAAAAACTATTTTTTTAAAAAGGTGAAAATATTTGTTGCTTTTCTCTGAGGAGAAAATACATATCTTCTTCTATGATGCTAGTAAGGAACTGAAGTGGGAGAGGTTATACTCTTTTCGTTTTTTTTGTTGCCAATGTTCAATTCTCCTGTAGGTGGTTGCATAACCCTTACATCTCAGAATTGATCAGATCCCAGCCTTGGAAGTTTGTGGGAGGAAGACTGCCTGTTCCATTGGTATCAGTGGAAGTAAGAATGCATGGTTCACACTATCTGCAGTCCCTGACATTTTTCGGCAACTGAACAGAGCCAGTCACTATTACGGCACTTAGAAAACAATTATTTTCTATGTGCCCCGTTTCCACCACAACACGGGTGTGACATGCATTTTTTTTGCAGCACATTAGACCCCACAGCAGGTCACCGTAACGCAGTACAATGCGCTGCTGTGCAGGGACCTGAATGGAGTTTACACTTGGGTATGGCTGGACACGCATTTCGTGTAATGCATAAAGGAGAACTATGAGGTGAGTGAAAATCACTCATGCTCATAGTTCGAGCCAAGGTGTGACAATGAAACTGTCACACGTCAGCTCAATAGATCGGAACATCAGCAAACACATACCGTCGCTCACTCACTTCTCGATTATCTCCCTGCAGAGAGCCGTGACTGTCAGTCACCGCTCCCCACCGCGATTCCCACCTCCTCGCTCCGATCCTCCAGCACTGACTGGAGGAACGGACAGGGGAGGGGGCGGGTACAGCTGGCGATGCCTCTAGATAGGTAGAGCCAGCTGTCATTCACGCAGCTGGGTGGATCTCGACAGCATTGTAGGGATCCGTCCCGGCTGCGGCGGTCTCAGTATACCGCGAGCTGTAGTTTGCAATATACTGAGGTTTGGGTGACGGGAGGACGCTAGTTCATGTCCTCCCATGATCCTTAAGAGAACTATGGGGAAAAACACTTACTCCATAGTTCTCTTTTAAATCTTGCTTGTCATAAAGCTGCACAGAAACTCTCCAGAAAAGGTTAAAAAATAAATTTGGTTATTTATATCTCAACTATGGTTCTATGTTCTATGTTTTTGTTCTGAAAAGTGTTTTTGTTCTAAATACAAAAAAAAAAGAATCTCTGAGCTACTTGCTAATTTTAAACCTTTTGCCCCCTGTATTCAAAGATATTTTTGATGAGACATATTAGGAAATCATACTGTGTATAGTCTATTGATATTATCTATTTTCAGGTTATTATACCAGTTTATGTTACTTTATTGCAGGTCAAAGTGGAACTCTTCTACAGTCCTGAGTTGTGCAGTCTGTCAACCCAAAAGAAAAAGTTTCAACAGGAATTGCACATTTCCCCTTCCTCTTCTGTGGCTGTTCCATTTATCATTGTGCCACTCTCTGTTGGTCTTCATGACATAGAAGTGAAGGCCACTGGGGAGCTTCAAGTTTTCATCAAGAAGAAGTTGAAGGTCGTGGTAAGTATTGTATTTTTCTATGGTGTTTTACGGTCTAGTTATGTGTGTACACCTAAAGGGAGTGTATAATGGCTTTGTCCGTATCTTTTTCCTTTTTAATAATACATTGGTCAGAACTATATTTGTATGTCCTTTATTTTTTACAGAGTGCTTGAAAGAGACTGTCCTACCACCCACTGATACCTACTGATACTTACTTTCTCCACTCTGTTCCTCCATCGGAGCTGAGGGTCATAGGAAATATGCCAGGTGGTGTCAGAACTTACACAGGCTTAAAGACATTGTCTTCTTCCTTAAGTTGCAGTGTCCAGGCCTAGTGACTAGCTGCCCAAGCTTGTAATTACCTGAGAGGTAATTACATGCGCCTCCATACCAGATATTTGCAATTCTTCTGACAAAGCAGCAGAGTGGTTGGGAGTGTGGGAAAGGTAATTATACATTCGTCACGGTGGACTAGAGACACTCTGTCACTTTGTCCATTCATGCAGGACCTCTCTTGCTGGCCCACCCCCTACCCATGTATCTTTATGGTCTTGACCCACTACAGTCTCTTTAACCTACTATCAAGAAAAAAATGTATTTCTGTACACCTTTTTCAGCCAGAAGGAATGCGTCTTACCCAAGCCCTGATGTCTGTGACTCTTGAACCAGAAAGAAAAGGAAAAGGTCTGTATACTCATATGTTGAACATCTTCAGGCATAGATAAGCCTACACACCACCATAGATACCCTGTTTTTTGCCTCATCAGCTACATTGTTTCTATAATTTACAAATGATTCCTAGGCTAAAGAGCAACTCCATGCACGATGCTAAATACAAGGTTGATTAGGAATATATTTACCATTTTACAAGCCAAAGTATATGTCATTTTGGCCAGCTATTCCTATGACACATCTAAACATCAGTAACACCACTCTACTACTTTCTGCTTTAGCATTTCTGCCCCCAGGTCAGCCCCTGTTTATAAGGCAGAGGCAATGATAATGATGCATTGTACAGTGAGGAGGCTGGAGGCAGAGAGTTGACACGGAAAGCTAAACTATTGAACTAGGAAGATGAATTGAATAATCAGGAACTCTGTGTGTCACCTATCTGGCTGTGCTGTATGGAAAAAACAAGTCTGGTTGTCTGGAATACACACAGAGTACTTTAGCTCCTGAAAGATCAAGGTTCTAGGTATATCTTGGTTTTCTAAGGCAGGTGAGCTGAGAAGGTTCTTCTGTAAACTTGTCACGATCTAGCAAGTGGTACCGGTTAGGATCACAGCTGCGGAACTGTTATGGATTAGGGCTAAGGGATTGGATCAGATAGACGGTTCTCTAATACACCAAGTGCGATGGGGAACCGTTCCACATCATGTATCCCAGCCCAATAGAAGCAAGGCTTAGAACCAGGGTTCCACTATGTGGTCCGTCAGCCACTCTATCAGTTTGCCTAACAATATGCGGGACGTGATAGGAATGTGGTTTCCTACTGGTATCAACAAGGTATAGTAACTACTGGGTACACAGCCGCAATTATGTCTTAGCAACAGCGGTGAACACTCAGTAGCTCTATTGCCTCAGCAGTTAGCTGTTGGAAACAGTGGGGACACGGTTCCTCAAGATCTCTTAGTAATCATAGTAAGCATACTCAGGCATCTATGTTTTGCACAGTAGTTCTCCACATCAGTTTAGCAATCACTGTAGTTTGACAGTACAAACAGTTCTAGTATCCCAGCAGTATGAAATAGGCTAGTATTAATCCTCAATGAATTGATCAATCCTAGTAAGCAGATTCAGCATGTATGAATTAAGCAGCAGTTTTCAACCACAGCAATTGAACAATCCTTAGTAAGCAGACTCAGCATATATGTACTGCACAGCAGTACTCCATATAACTTTAGCAATCACTTATAGCTGGGCAGTTCTTAGGCAGAGAGAGTGCCCTTGTACTTGCGGTTGGGGTGCTAGTGGTGAGGAGACTGTTCCGTCCTGCAGGGCTGAGTGGTGTGCTGGTGAGGAGGAGAGGTGTCCCTCAGGACTTCCACGGCTGTGCGAGATAGCAGAGGCCAGCAGGGTTCAGTGGAATGTGCGGAGACAACGCTCGACGTTCCACATTGACAGAACGCCGAGTGTGTGTCTCCGCAGCGGTTATAAGGGGAAGCGACCCTGACAAAACTCCTCACTCAGCCAGTCACCCATCTTTCTTGTGCGAGATAGTTGCAGTTTCTTCCTCAAGGTGAAACATTTCATCTTCCATCAACTTCAGGAGACTTCCCAAGAGGGGAGAATCATGGACCATCCAAATCTAGCCATGGGGAATAAGAGACAACCTACAGGTGTAGGAGAACCCGATGTAATGGTATTTTTTTTTTCATTAGTCCTCGGCAGTGGACCACTCCCATGCCATTTGTTTGACAATTCCTTGACTATTATCCTTGAAAATGGCCAAACTTGATTTAAGGACCCCCCCTTCTTTCACAAATTTGAATAGGCTTTGGATTAACATGCACAATTTCCACATTTTTTATTAGTTCGGCAAACGTCCCGCAAATAAAACCCAGGCACATTCAGCTCATTACTTGCCAACACCTGTACAACCTAGCTGACTTCTGTTTTTAATGAAGAATGATGGAGTGCTTGTGACATATTCCACTCCACCCTATCACTTTAGCACTTGCCAAATATAAGAGTATTGGAGTATTTATCAAAGGTTCACTGGGCAATTTTCCTACTGAAGATGGCCTTAAAGTTTTCCCCGAAGATTCAACAGTACTTGCCTATCATTTTCTGCCACCATTCAAGTGTTTAAAGTACAGTAGAAATTATTCTCCTATTTGTGGTCAAATCTTTGGGTGAATGTTTGTATCTATCTGTCTAAATAACTAGAAAGTCCTTCAATCTGTGACTTGGAATTCGCTTTCCATGGTGCTAAAACATATATACACAGTTTCAGCACTAGGAGAATGGACTGTATTTTTAAAAAATGTAAAAAAAAATATTTAACCGTGTGTCACCCCCTCCCGGAACAAATCAGCTCAGCACATCAGACATGCAAACTGGTATCCCCAAAGCAAGGGAGCTGTGAGTGTGCTGCTTCCCTGCTCTGTTGAAACTAGTCCACATTCCCTTCAGCGTAATGACAATATTTGATCTTTATTTTCGGTATTTTGCAAATGGCTCTTATTTTAATTTTACAGATGGGTTACAGATTGAAAACATTCCATTTCTGAATGAAACCAACATCGTTCCCAGGATGGATGATGACACAATTATCACCATTCAAGGTGAAGAAGAATTAGTCAGTCTTCTTTATATATCAGATAATACATTCCCATCCCAGTCTTGGCTATAGTTGTGGCGCCATAATGGCATGGCAAAGATTCTGCAATTTCTTGCTATATGGCTTTTATAATCATGTAAAGCTATTTTATAACTAGATGGTTTATGGCTGATGCCTTTAGCCAATCCCCAGAATAACTAATTATTTACAGACACAGCATGTGCATGGTGCTGATTTGGTGAACTCATGACTCAGAGGAGGGACATCCCCCTTGCTAATGCATGCAGAGTAGCAGTGGTTGCTGAAATGATGAGCCTGTTAGTACCAGGCAAAGAAAAAGGCACCACTGGGCAAAGATGTCTCCTTCCAGAGGAAGCCTTTATTGTCCTGGCAATGATGTAATCAAGGGGAGCAGTACAGGACATGGAGCCTGCAAGTTAAGTCTCACTGAACACCAATGCAGGGTGGGGCATTTCCCACTGACACTGGGACAACATTCTTCCCACTGGCATAGAAGCACCATTCCTTCCATGGACACAAATACACCATTGCTCTTACTGAAACAGGGACACTATTCTTTTCAATGACATAGGGGCACAATTCCTATAACTGACACCGGGACAACAATTCCCCCAATTATACGGGAGCACCATTCCCCCCATTGACACAGGGGCATTTCTTACTGCCACTGACACAGTGGCATTTTTTTACTTTTACAGAGGAAGATAATATTTTTTGCTTTTGCTAAAGCAGAGTCATCTTACTCCAATTGACCACTCATGCAGGAAGATTTTTCTCTCCCACTGACCACTGATCTAAGGTCATTTTTTTATTTGCTCTAAATACTGGTGCTGGGACATTTTGAACTCACAATGACCACCAACATAGGGAAATTTTTACTCCCACTAACCTCTTTTGCCAGGGCATTTTTTTATTTTGACTAACCACAGTCCAGGTCCCAAAGAGAGTGACGGACAGTTAATTGGCCCCTTTTTAAAAAGTTTAGCAACCTCTGCTCTACAACATAAATGTAATGGAAGCACACTGTATTAAACGTTTATATGTAAAAAAAAAACAATGAACTTCAGCCCCTGACTTCTTATATGTCTTGGATATTTTCTTGCTATTGTTCTTGACAGTACCTGATAGTTTTGTGTGCTTCTGCTCCTCCTGTTACATTTTCTCTCAAAATGGGCACATCAGGTATGCAGTTCCCACCAATATAGTCCTTAAGAGATAGAAAAGAATGTCAGCATGTTTAATTCTCCAGGATATACCAAACATTGGAATTTTCCCTGTATGTGTAGAATGGTCTAACATCTGCTATAATATTTCTTCAAACAGGGAACCTGATCAGTCAAATGGTGGAAGATGCAATTAATGGAGCCAATCCAAACCATTTCATCATAATGCCAGCTGGCAGTGGAGAACAAAATATGATGAACATGTCTCCCGGAGTGATTGCAACACATTATCTGGACGCCACCAATCAGTGGGAGAGGATAGGATTGGATCGCAGAGCTCAAGCTTTACACTTTATCAACAGAGGTGAGAAAAACAGAGGGAAGAAAGAGGAGGACTATACAATCTGTTCTTTCTTGTCCATTAAGGGACTCAGAAAATATTAAAACTAAACTTTACATTTATCTAGCCATTTTTTTTAATCTTCAATCAAGATTCATCTTCAATGTTTGCGGCTGGTGGTTTTATCCACTGACTCGCGACACCCTGGTGTGGTTGTCCTCAGCCTGGCACACTGGACTGGAAAATTGCAGGGTCAGCCTGGAAGTGACCTGTGGGTACTGGGCTCCATGTGGGTGCTTTCCAGACTCAGTTCTTGCTAAATGAATGTCAGTTCTCCTGACTTTGGAGCTACAGGACATGTTGCCCATGCTGTGGTCAGATTGAGCTGCCAAACCCCTGTTCAGTCCTCCACCGTTTGATTGACAGTGTCAGAAGCCACGTGTTCTGCCCAGTAGGATAGGCTTTCTATGGAGTTCCTTGAATGATTTCAATGAAAGCCCCAAAGCATCTTCTGCATGCTCCACTGCATACCTTCACACTGTGGTAGAGGACAGTGATGAGTGATCACGTGATCGCAGAAAAAAAACAACCTAAAAAAGGTATCTGCCTATTTTTTATATATAAAAGTGGCACTAAATGGTTAGTTGCAGAGTGCTTTCCAGGTCCAAAGCCACTGACAGTGCCTCTGTGATTGCCCTGTCTCTGAAAACACACTTAGTGAGTAGGCCATTTAGGCAAAGGAATCAAGAGTTCCCTCATTTTTATTGGTCACTGGGTGCCATTACCTGTTTTCCACTGCCTTTGCCTTTGCAATTGAAGGGCTCTCTTCAGCAGATTGGCACTGCCCTTTCCTCTGGAGGGTGGCTACTTTTGTTCCCCATGGTCCCTGTGTGTGTTATAAAGTAGTGAGCGCTCCAAACTCACTCCTGTGATGGACTACAATCTCACGTTTAGTCAACTAATTTGTATTAAAATTGTAGTCTATTACAGGAGTCAGCTTAGAGTGGTGGCTACTTTACAACACACACAGGGACCATGGGGAACAAAGTATCCCCCCTCCAGAAGGAAGGACAGTGTCAGCACCAATTCAGAGATTATTTGAGGCTCTACAGCCGAGTGATACACAAATAAGATACATTTTTGCTAATAGTTAAAGGGTTTCTAAACCCTCACTGGTTTTTGCATACATCTACTGCTAGCAAGCAGTAGATATATGCAAAACAATAAAGAAAAAAAAAAGCTTTTTCAAAGGGTTAATACTTACCTGTGTCTCTGCAGCACGCTCCCATCCGAACACCCGAACATTTCTCGGGTGGCCGCAAAGGATCTTGGGACAGGCGCATGCGCAGTTCAGATGTTCGGCCGGGAGACGAGGAGAGACACAAGGTAAGTCTATGGAGCAGCGTGCACCCGCACAGACTCAGTGGGACATGAGAGAAGAGGAGGACAGAGGAGTCAGCGCTGGATCAGAGACCAGTACCAGCGCTGGAGGGACTCCTGTAAACTACAGGAAAGAAGAAGATGATCGGATTAAGAGGCATCATTTAAGGTCAGTTCTTACATTATAAAAACAATAAGTGATCAGCACCAGTAAATAAATGCAAATGAGAGCTACTAGGCACTCAAGATGAATAAAACATATCGAAAACATATATGACAATCATGTGCCGAGCTAAATAAATATATACAATTCAGTGAAATATGTGATATAACGATAAGATATATGAGTATATGCTTTAAAAATATATACAGAAGAGCATATCAAAACATACATTTTTTTTAACAGAATGATAAAAACAAAGTCCAATGTGCAACAATTAAAATTGTGCAAATAAATGCAGGGGATAATCCACCACTGGATAGATTCAAACTTCCAAGTAAACAGTTGCCACAGAATCCTGACAGACCTTCACCTCCACCCGGTGAATGCAAAAATTGGAACAGTGCTTACCTGGGGAGATAGACACACAGAACTAGGTCTCAAAGCGCGTTTCCCTTCTTAATAGGGGAGGGAAGCCCGTATAAATGAAGACCAGATAACCTCCTCAGCTCGCAAATAACATCATCATTTCAAAGGGAGACAAAATATAAAGAGGACATAGTGAGTATCATCCAGAAAAATGCAATTTATTAAATAAAAGCAGGTACTCACAATGTCACAGGTGATAAAAGGCATAAAACAAACATCCAATGGACACCACAGTACAAATCTATGGGTGCAATGGGACTCGTGTCCGTCCGGCTCAGCTGAGAAGAGTGACGTCAAATGCTCAGCCCTACGTACGTTACGTCTTTGCGTGACTTCGTCAGGAGGCCGTGTGGAGGGGGGGAGGGGGGGGGGCACTTTTGTCCTTACTGCCACTTTAAGGTACTTGAATATATGTTTAAGGTTTAACTCCTGAGTTTAGTGTCACTTTAATTCTTGTATCATTGGATGGCACGGTCAAAGGCCATATCATAAACATTTTTTTCCATTCACAGGTTACAATCAACAACTCACATATAGAAAAGAAGACCACTCCTACTCGATGAGTGTATTTCTTCCATCCAGTACATGGTAAGAAACATTTCTAGGGAATCAACTAAAAGAACAAAAAAATGCAAACTAAATTAGTTATCCTGATGTTGATAAATGTAAAGTGGATCAGAGACCAGTACCACTTTGGGGTTAAAAATAGGCAAGCGGAATACACATTAATGGGAACTCCACTAGAGAAGTCAGAAATGAAAAAAAGATCTGGGGGTCATTGTAGACCACAGATTGAGTAATAGCTTGCAATGCCAGGCTGCGGTAAACAAAGCGAGCTGAGTACTGTCTTGTATTAAAAAAGGAATGTACTGTAGGGACAAGTCTATAATTTTGCCACTTTATAGATCACAAGTTTGGCCTCATCTGGAGTATCCGGTCCAGTTTTGGTCACCAGTCCACAGAAAGGATGTCCTTGAGCTGGAGAGAGTCCAGGGAAGGGCAACAAAACAAATTGAGGGGATGGAGGACCAGAGCTATGAGACAAGTCTACTAAATCTAAACATGTTTACGCTAAAAGTGAGGCGATTAAGGGGGGACATGATTTTGATGTATAAGATAAGATGTTCAATGGTGATAGCAACATCAGCAATAAACTTTTTACTATAAACTCCATAACAAGGACTAGAGGCCACCACCTAAAACTGGTGGAGAAAAAAATTTAACCACAAGGGGTGTAGGGGCTTCTTCTCAGTTAGAGCGGTTAGGGTCTGGAACTCGCTGCCACAAGCAGTGGTATCAGCTGAGAGTGTTGAATCATTCAAAAAGCATTTGGACAACTCCCTCAGAAACCGTAACATATATAGAAACAAGAACACACAGGGACTCGTACACACACATACACATGCAGAATCACATACATACACGCAATAGGTTGAACTTAATGGACCTGTGTCTTTATTCAACCTCAAATACTATGTAACTATGTTATAGAAACTTAGTGAGTGAATCAGTTTGAAAAACAGATGAACATATTTATTTTTCTCAACATATATTCATGCATATGTGTCCAGTTTGAAGAAAATTGTACTATTCATGAACTACAGTTACCTGGATTTCTAAAATGAGTCATTTTTCACAAAAGAGTAAAATGTAAAAATGTTCAGGGGAATCAAAAGTGATGAATCAGCAATACTCCTGATATGATCATCCCTAATAAAATGTAACTGTAGTTGTCGGCAGTGGAGCTCTCCCGGTACTACATGCCTCTATATCATAATTTGAAGGAAGTGGAAAAGGGAATGTGCCCATTATAAGGGATTCCCATTCTACTCTGGATTTTTACTGATTTTATATAATGGAGAATGTTATAGGAAGATGCGGAGCACACAAAAGGTAGGCTGGGCAGAGCTAGGAAATATGGAAAAGAGATCCGTTTTGAAACATCTGAGGCATAAAAAGCCAGGGTTTGATTTAGGCGGTATTGTGGTGGGTACTAATCCTCACAGCATTCCTGCAAGGGCAAGCAGATATCCCCTCCCCCCATGATTCTTAGGGCGATAGCTGTCTATCTTTCACCAACAGAGTTCTTGCAGTGATTGTTAGAGACTTTAATGGCAAAAGAAGTAAAGACCTTGTATTTCTAAGCCAAGGATCTCATCACTGGAGTTCCATAGAGAATGTTCTTTAAGAAAGAGCCCTCCAATATCTAATCAAATACACCATATGGCCAAAGCTGTGTGAATGCCCCTCCAAATCATTGAGTTGAGGTGTTTCGAGTGAAGGGTATTGGTAATGCCACAGCATACAAATACATTTTAGACAACTTGTAGATCTGCTAAGTGGTGGTCAGTGTTTTTTCTATTTTAGTTTTGCATAGCTTAGGGTAGTGCTAACAACCCCATGGGCAGCGCTGGTGCTGCCACTTGGCAAACTAGGCAGCCGCCTAGGTTGCATTGCTGCCTAGGGCGCAGCCTCGACCACTCCCATCCCACGGTGCCACCCCCTCTTTTTTAAATTGCAAAAGACAATAGCAGGCTAGCTATTGCACCCACCCACTGAGCAGAGGAGCGATGCTAAGAAACAGCTTTCTCTCTCAGGTCCGCTCCTCTGCTTAGTTGCTGGTGTTTCAATAGCCAGTCTGCTATTGGCTATATTGGCTATTTAAATTGAAAATAGCCAATAGCAGTCTGGCTATTGTCCTGGCTGCTTACATCCATCTATCGCCTGTGGAAGCCAGCCCACAGGAGAATGGGGTCGCACGCATGGGGGGCGGGGGGCATTGGGGGCTGGGGCGATGGAGGGGCGCTGGGGGGTGCAAGTAGCTGGTCTTGCCTAGGGTGCAAAATAGTCTAGCACCGGCCCTGCCCGTCGGGTGAATTTTGCCATCTGTGCCTGTCCCCATTGGAAGACTTACCGTCTTATGCTGGTGATGACGCCCTCAATTTTATTAGGTCACCAGGACAAATGGAGAGGTGAAGATCTCCGTGGGGGCACAGAGAGCAATAAAAACTTGACAGGAGCTAAGCCTTCTAAATAAACAAAAATATTTTTGCCTTTACATACACTTTAAGGCCGACATGTTGAAATATATTCCTTAATAGCCACAAAGTAAAGAAATCCCCTTTATGTGCACTAAATGCCTGTGCAAACTCAGTTTTTACCCAACAGCCCCCATCCGCTACAGGCTGCCCTCAGAAAACTGCAGGGGGGAAGAGACAAGGCCAGTCACCATGCACAAAGGGAGACAGCAGCAGTGACTGGTCTTTATTACAGGGAGCTCCTGCACAGAGGCAAAGTTACACACTGAATTGCTGCACAGATCTGGAAGAAATACACACAACATGCAAAGATTCTATATTATACATTCCTCTTGTGCTTGGACACAATTTGCTAATCTCGGAGTTCATCTTTATGGAAGCACTGAACTCCACTTACAATATTCATGAGTTTTATTTAGTTTCTGGTTTATTGAATAATGTATTTTTTCTCTCTCAGGTTGACGGCCTATGTTGTAAAGTTGTTTGCAATGGCTTATCCCTTACTAAATATTGACAAGGATACACTGTGTAATTTAGTGGCATGGCTGATTAGTAAAGAAGACCAGACGAAACCTGGGAAATTCGATGAGACCCATTGGGTCTATTACCCAGATATATCAGTATGTATTAAAAAAAACAACACATGGGCCACCATGCTAAAAGTGACCAGTTCAGGCCAATGTAGGTGGAGTGGCATAGTGGTTAGCATTTTTGCCTTGCAGCAGTGGGGGTTTGTGGTTTGAATCCTGCCCAGGTCTTCATCTTCTCTTCTGTGCTTGCGTGGGTTTCCTCCCACACTCCAAAGACATGATGCAACGTTAATTAGCCCTTATATGTATGCATAGGAGATAGGGACCTTAGATTGTAAGCTTTGAGGACAGGAACTCCTGTGAATATGCTGTGTAAGTTGCAGGTGCTGTATAAATACATGAAATAAATAAATGTGGTTTAAAGAGAGCCTATGGTTAGGTCTGTGCAGGAAAAAGTAACTAGTTCATAGGAAGGATCTCTAGAACCCTCTTTCTGCCATTACAATGGTCTTGGAAGAAATTCAAGGAGCATTCTATGTGAGTTCCGTCAAAAGTAAGAATAAGAAACATTCTATGTGCTGATACACATATAAAATTTTAGAACTTACTAACTTTACTAACATTTCATATGCTAATACTATACAATTCACGCAACAGTGAGCAAAGAGCAGCCATGTAATTGCTTCATTTATGTGGCACACAGGGTGGTCTCAGGACCTCATCTGAGCCAGATGCTGTACTTACCGCCTTTGTCCTCATTGCTTTGTTGGAGAGTCAGAGCATTTGCCAACCAAAAGTCAAGGTGAGTTAATGAATCAAGAGAAAAAGATGATATTTGTGTTAGGTCTGCCAAATCGGGAGGGGAGGGGTGCTTTAGTTAGGGTTACTTAAACTGCAAGATACATTTGTCATATTGATTTGCATTAAAAATCTTGTTTTTATGTGTAGTTTAAACACTTTTGAACATTTGGGGCAGCCATATTTGGCCATGACTTGTATAGGCACTGTAACAATAATAAGGTCCAATATGAGTATGGAGAATAGGGTAGTAGTGCTGAATGCAGTGCCACCCCCATTCTCCTAATTTCACAAGTCAGTAACAATAGGATTAGAGTTAAATCTACAGTCTGTGAGTTGGAGGTGACCACTTTAGGAGACCACAGACAAGACTGAAACAAGACAAAGCAAGTCACCATGAATTCGATTAAAACATTCCAAATACAGTATCTTTGACAGGACACAGGCTCAGTGGCATTAAACCCCAGTAAGTCCTCTAAGCCAGAGCCAATAGCTGATGGTCATAAAATAGTGTAGCAGCAATACACATTGGTAAGTTTGGCTTTTACTTGACTTGAAACTGCACTTTAATACATATTCAGTGTTCAAATCTATTCGTATTTCTTATCTGGTAGTTTAATCGAGATATCGTTATAAAACAGGGCTACACTAATGAATAAGAGAATAACAATCAGCTGGATACCAAACATGTCTTTGCTATAATGTACTGCACACAAATTGTTTACATTAAATGTCCTAATATCTGCACCCAATTTATATTACATTTTGTCTTTATTGAATTGTGGTTTCATTCTGTTCATTATTATGTTGTCTGTCAGATTGCAAAACCATATCATCTAGAAAGATTGGCATTAAGGGAATGTCCACTTAAGTATAATACATCACTTCAGCACTCCCACCTCACACCCGTTAAATGTTTTGATTGGCTGGGGGGTTGGCTCAGTGATGCCCTCTAGAGCAGGGGAGGGCAACTCCAGCCCTCCAGCAGCTCTTTAACTACAAATACAAATATGCCTTTGTGAGATATGCCTGTAACTGTCAGTCTTGCAATGCCTCATGGGAAATTTTGTTCCTCAATAGCTCGAGGGCAGGAGTTGCACACTCCTGCTCTAGAGGGTCAAGAAAAAGCTGCTGCTATTGGCAGTTATCACTTACCACTGACATTATGAAAGGGTCATTAATGTGAGCCAATGATCCTAATACATCAGATTGGACCTACTTTGCAGCAGATTGGACTCTGCTGAAACCAAAAACGATGCACATTTTGCTAAGTACCTTTCTCTTTTCATCCCATATATTTTACTGGAGCTTATTGTCTATTTCTTCAGCAATGGGGGGAAGGATCAGCTGTAGGGAGATCACAGGCAGTACTTGTGACTAGCACTTTACCCTTTGTTTGCTTTTTTGGGCACGGCTTTCACAGTTCAGTTCCTCTTTAAAGTTCTTATTGGTGATAAAATGTTTAGGTTGTCCATTTAGTACTGGTAGCCTCTTCTGTACAAGTATCACCTCATTAATGTAATTCATGTAACTGCAATGACAAGGCACCTTTCTAGTTTATGCTGTATTATAACTCCGGACTATGTGACAATTGTTCCTTCTGTATTATGAGCTACAGACCTCCATCAGCAATGCCAGCAATTTCCTTCTAGAGCAATATCCAAATCTGCGGAAGCCTTACTCCATTGCCGTGACCTCCTATGCACTTGCTTTAGATGGCAAACTAAATGACACCAAGATATTGATGAATGCCGCTTCAGGTATCAACATATCCATAATATTAGCATTTGCCATTGAAAATGAACTTGAAAATAAGGTGCTTTCCTGGCTTGTCTCCTCCCCCCTGAGTGCCGGTCCGTGTTCCCTCCTCTGTGTCGGCAGAGGCAGTGGATGTCGGAGGGGACACAAGCCGGTGCCCAGTGGGGAGGAGAGAAGCTGTCAAGAGGCTGAGCGGGGCGGTGCTGGAGGAGAGCTCGGCCTCCTGTGACAGGCGGGAGGGCGCAGAGCAGTCAGGATGGAGAGCGGAGAACAAACACATAGCAATCCGTACTGATCATGGAGTGTTTGTAAATAACTGAGAACATAGTAAGCTTACTGTGTCCCCAGTTAGGAATGAACATGAAGTGCTTTACATCACTTCTTGTTCATTCATGATTGTGGGCATAGTAATTGATATTATCTCCTCAATTTATGAATGGACAAGAGCACTCAGCATAGAGGCTTCCTGTTCATTCGTAACAGGGGCTGCAGAAAAGTAATTTTGGACTCTGTGTTCTCAATGTCTTTTTCTATTTTAAAAGGGAAATATCAGTGGTCTGTTTAGACCCCTGATATTTCCCCGGAGCCCCTGACAGTAAAGATAATAGTAATAATAATAACAACAATAATGAAAAACAAAAAATAATTTACATTTTTTTTAAAAGGTTGAAAAAAAGTAATTTTCGGTTTCGGCCTGACAATTTTTTAAAATTTTGTTTTGGTTTTAGACTAAAAATGTAATTTCAGTGCGTCCCTAGTGGAGAAACCTAAAGTGTTGGTAATCTCTCTTTTAGATATGACTCATTGGCATGAGAGAGGCTCAAGGATGCTTTCACTGGAAGCCACAGCTTATGGTCTTCTCACCCTCTCACGCATGAAAAATTTTTATGAAACGGGTGCTATTGCACGCTGGCTAATAGAGCACAGATACCATGGGGAAGTGCAGGCATCCACACAGGTGAGTTCAGGGAAAAAGATCATCCTAAGCATGCTAATAATTATGTTGCTCAAAATTGTCATAGCGAAACTCCTCTGAATCATTGCAGTACATGTCTAGGCCAACCTGCCGATCATCGGTACAGAAGGAGAGGGAATGGGGAGAAGGAGTCATTATTGAGCTATTGAGCTTTGTAAACAAAAATGTTTTACAGCAGGAGGTAAGAAGAACATGTGAAAAAGAAGCCGAAAGATTCACCGTGTGGCTGGATATACAAAAAATTAAATACGCTTAGCTAATATTTCATACAGAGTTGAAACTTAAATGTTAACTATATTTTCTAAGCCATGGCCCCAATATATACTGTGTGTGTGTGTGTATACATACTATCCTTTTCAGGAGCTTAGTGTGGAAGGGCCATGGGGCGGTTGCTCTAGGCACTAAATTTTTAGGTGCGCTGTGGCAGAGCCATTCAGTGCTGGGTCCAACAGAGTGCCGCTGGGTGGAATAGTGCTGTGCAGAGTGGCTGCAGGGAGTAGGACAACCCATTCCTCCATAAACAGTGTGTGCATTGGAAATGTATTCCCCGAAAGTATGGCAGCTCGGACAGCAGCAGTGAGGAAGACTGGGATAGGGAAGAGAGGCTGGTGGAGGTGAAGTAGCCGCCCCTGCACTCCGCCTACCTGGGTCTAATGAGCTCTTCTAGACTGTCAGCCACCCAGCCTTCCTATCTGCCTCTTCTAGCTCCACCATTAAATGGGAGAAGAGGCTCATCTGATCTCCTGAGGAGGTGACCCTGGAGGGGGGTAGGGAAGTGGGGGTGGAAGAGGAACAGGAATTAGGAGGATGGGAAAAGGGAGTTACTGATCAGAGAGGAGGTTGTAGATAGTAGAGGGGGGGTACTGATCAGAGAGGAGTTTGTAGATAGTAGAGGGGGGTACTGATCAGTAGGAAGGTTGCAGATGGTAGACGGAGGTACTGATCAGATGATCAGAGAGAAAGTGGGGGATGTTAGAGAGGGGTACTCATCAGAGATCAGGTGGGGGATGGAAGGAGGGGGATACTGATTTAGAACTAAGTCACATAACACCCAATAGCCAAAACATACCATCTGATTAGTGAGAGAACAGTCACGTGTTCAATTTAGTTTAGTTTTGAATAAAATTTGGACGGATCCAAATTTTCGCTAAAGGACCATTCAGATTCATTCACATTCACATTTACATGTCTAGTAAAAAATGACCCCTTTTCATGCCCCCTGTCCCCAAACACTTGTCTACAGTCTAAGTTCACTGCTGCTGACTCCAGGACGATCAGCGCTGCTTCCTTGAACTCTGAGGTTAGGGAAGCAACAGGCTGCTGCAGTTGTCTGTTATGTTTCTGTGAGGATAGAGGAGGGATCAGGAATGAAGCCCCAAAAACACATCAGCCATTTGCTGTTTTTTACACACACCAAAATCAAGCCTCAGGCATTCGGAGGGGTTCTATTGTGACTAGACAAGCTCTATTGTCTGTTTAAGGTGTGAGTACTGAATACGGAAATGGACATCTCTATAGAACTACCTGAGAGGAATAAACCAATAACATTCCGCATCAATAACCAGAATGCATTGATGACACGCACTGAACAGGTGAGCTTGGAGTGTCTGTGAAGGAATGCGGTGATTAAGAAAATGTTTTTGGAACCAAGTCCATCTTAACAATATATGGGTGACCGTGGAATGTGGGGGATGGTTATTGCACTATATGTTGCAGCCCATCATTCTTAGACTAATTTTAAAAAATGTCTGTTTGTTCATTATGGTGGTTTCAACAATTTTTGCCAACATTTGCCCACTTCTGTTCTAAAATTAAGTTTCCAAAGGCCAAAACGTACAGATCTCCAAATATCTAATGGTGATTGTGCTAACAGATGACCAAAGAAGCCAGCCAGAGTTAACTGCTTTGACCTGTTGCATGTGGTAATTTTCTAGAACTGGTCTCTGCTGCCCTCTGTCCTTGTGAAGATCGGGGTCTAGTGTACACTATCCAGACTTTCCATCGGCTCTTTAACCATGCTAGACATCTTTTGTCTTTGTGTCCTCCTGTCAGGGATGGTACAATCATCAATTTTCATGTAACACAATAGCAATTGTAGTTTAATAACTTACGCACAGGTCCTTTTGATTGATGTTCCTGGGTCACAGATAGCAGCAGATACCACGAAAGATAATGTTCAAAGGGACCTTATGTTACAAGCAGCAGGATGTGCTGATTATCTTTGTTTTTGTTTTTTAATTTGCAACTAATAAGGGTATCTCAGTGATATCTTGGAGTAGAAAATCCCAGTAGAATTCTCCCAGTAGAATGGGTGTTCTACTGGGAGAAGTATTCTTTGTTTGCCCTAGAATGGACATGGCATTGTTAGATCACGTTTGCTTTATTTGGGACGACAGACAGGCAAAGTGTCAGGGCCAGTAAGATAAACATCAGAAACAAAAAATAAATTATGCAACATGGTCTACCCACTTATAAGTCCACAACCCCACAATAGCTTCAGAGCTACCACCATTCCACTTGGATTGCTTTGGTAGAACAACTAGGTGGTGTCACTGTACAGAATGCAAAGCAACTGGTGGGCTTTATTGCTGTTTGACTCTCAAACATTCTAAATCTACTAAAAACAAACTTGCCAATTTTGAGAGCTAAAAACGGATACACTAATGAGTAGTGTGTTCTAAGTTATGCTTTTCAATATTCAACCATATATTTCTTCTTTAGATAAAAACTAACAGACCATTTGTGGTGAAGGCCAAGGGAACAGGACAAGCCACCCTGACAGTAAGTTTTTTTTCATGATTACACTGCAACCACCAGAACAGTCATTTGAAATGCTGACTTGAAAAACTGTAATTTCAACAGTTTGCTCAACTGGTAGACATTTTCAAAGATGGCTGCGGAGCTCTGCAACCTGTTCTTAGTATTTTACAGGCAGTCCCCGAGTTACATACATCTGACTTACATACGACTCCTACTTACAAACGGAGGCTATTACTGTACAGCAGGGGTAATTGTAATGCTTCAACCAGGAGTGCCCACCTTTTTGGGTCTGGTTCGTAGTACTCTACGTACATTACAGGAAGTTGGCTCTTGTTAGACGTGCAGACAAGGGGTGCCCGCATCTTCTTCCGGGTCACTGTGAGGTTTTTACTGCTGCCTGCATCCTCAGTAGAAAGATTTAATCTCACTTCCTGTCCTTGAGGCAACAGGAAGTGAGGGGAATCTACCTCTAGGAAGGGAAATTCACTCCTGTAAGAGTTAGCATGGAAAAAAGGTGTCTCCACTGAAGCTTTATCACCAATCCTTGTATCCACGACAACCCAAAATTTTCAAAATCCAGTTGTGACAGTGACAGAAAGTGAGGTGAATTCTTCTGAACAGGACACACACAGCAGAACAAACTTTACAGGAGGTTAACCCTTCCTTAAAAAATTTTTTGGCTGGAGTTACACTTCACCTGGAGCTGTATCAGGACTTTTGTTTGTGGATGGGGATTTTGGGCGTGGCCTTCTTGGCATCCTGGTTCAACAATAAGCTGACAATTATTTTCCAAAGCCCGTTTGCCTTTCATTCTCTATTGAAGGCCATTGTGCAAGGGGTCGCTCATGTTGTTCGCCCTGTGACTCTGTGGGACCTCAATTTAGAAGGGCAGAAGCCACCCCTTGATGAAGTCAGAGAGATTCTCTTGACCCCACTCACTCCCAAGGTTGCCTTTCCCCTACGCCATTACTAATGCCAGGCATATTTCTGAGTTACGAGCCTTAAAGTGTAAAGCACTTTTTTAGTAGTACTAAGACCTAAGGCCTCCCCTCTTTATAAAGTGTTCTGTGTCTTCCACCTCTGATATGTGGGCCAAGAAGAAAAAAAAGAAGAAAACAAACAGTTTGATGCTCCGTGATTGCTGCATCAGCACTCTGCCTGTTAATGTACACCGCCAAATGCACTGCTTACTGTCATGAATGGGTTCTTACAGTGTGTATTATTCCTAATAAGTGAATTAGTACAGTCCTAATGCTTCCCTATCAGCTTATATTTTTAACCCACTGCAAGCCATAAATATTTGGTCAAAATTCCTTAATGCAATTTCACTGTGTTACACATATTCGTTTCTGTCTCAGACAAATATTATTATTATTATACAGGATTTATATCGCGCCAACAGTTTTCACAGCACTTTACAATATAAGGAAGACATTACAATTACCATATAATTCAAGACATGATGGTAAGGAGGGCCCTGCCCATGAGGGCTTACAATCTAAAAGGGAGGGGCCAGTGATACATAAGGAGGTAGCTGTGTGGGGATGAATTGTTTGAGAATGTGATGGTTCAGTGGTTAGGTTGAGGTGGGATAGGCTTCCCTGAAGAGATGAGTCTTTAGGGATCGCCTAAAGGCAGTCAAGGTGGGAGATAGACGCCAAGTTGGGGTAAAGAGTTCCAGAGGATGGGAGAGACTCTAGAGAAGTCTTGGAGGCGAGTATGGGAGGAGATGACAAGGAAGCTGGAAAGCAGGAGGTCTTGGGAGGAGTGGAGGGGACGGTTAGGGTGAAATTGTTGTTCAGTTATGTGAACAGCTCGTGTCTGTTGACTGGAGCATGAAAGTAGAGTTAAAGGACAAGTCCACTGTGAACTGATATTTCAGCTACTTTACCCTCTGTAGTGTTCCCCCCAGCTCTTTTTTTGTCCCAGGGCAAAAACTTGCTTGCCCCTTCTCAAGCTCAGGTGGCCTCCTTTATGAGTCTGGACCATGGCAGAGAGGTTAAGTACAGTGATCAGTGTATAGTGTGCATTGAGGCATGTTGTGTTTTTGTTTTGACAGCCCACTTAATTTACATGTACAAAAAGAGGCAGCACCCTGACCCTCTGATATTGTCACCACTCCACCTACTCCCAGGATGCAATGCTCAACCCTGAGGATTCAACCCTGAGAACCCTGAGGATTCAAATATTAGGCATGAACACTGTTGGGTGGTGGAAGGGAGCAGGTCATAAACCCTCTGTAAGCTCAGGCACTCACCCTTACTCAGTGTTTAGATTCTTTTGCAGTAGCACTCCAGGCAAGTCTACAAAGAGCTCTTGCTAGCATTGTGCTAAAAAAAAACCAGAAAATTGTAGTACATACTTACTATATTTTTCCTTTCCTGCCCTATCTTCATGTCATAGGGAGCAGTGCTTTTGAGTTCCAATGCCATATTGAAGAGATTCGGAAGACATTTAGATGAAGGTGTTGAAATTACCCTGTCTTGCAGCAGACAGCAGAATAGCTCCTAGCAAAAGAAAGCCATTGCATTGCAAACCTCATCCCTGCTTGCTTGTATCGGTTGTAAAAGTGGTCCATATGCCAAGATCTAGTCCCATGAGGCAGATTGTGAGACAGAAAGACGTGGTAGGTGCAGATGTTACAGATTACAATCATATCCTGAACCGGGATACAATTTCATGGAATTTGATGGGGAAATATACTCCCGAGCCACAGATGTGTCTAAGAGGACCCTCAAAACTTTTTTGTTGGTATCAAATGGCTCTTTCCTAGATTCATCAGCTATTTAAAGTTCTTCAAAGCTCTCTGTGTATTGTCTTGTGTGACTCAAGCTGATATGGTGAATCCCCCAGAAGCCCAATGTTGTCTAATGAAATACTCACAGATATTGTATGTGAAGAGTTTTCACTACTGTCAACAGAGTCTTGAATATGAAAAGGCTTGTGGATCTGTCAGCAGACCAAATAGTAGTCACTGACGTACTGCAAACTGGAGATATATCTGGTGTGACCTTGCCACTTGAATAAAGAGATAAGCATCTGTGAGAACCACCAAAAGCATCAAATCTGCCTTTGACCACTATGATGAACTGATTCAATGCAGAACCTCTTCACCATGATGAAACAATTTAGCATCTTGATATCTAGCACTGGTCTGCTTGCAATAGGTCTATGACCTCCTCTTCTCTGGTGACAAGTGGAACCTTGTCTCCATAAAGACACCTTTGGTCAGTTTTCTGACAAATGTGATTTAGAACCTCTCTTCACAATATCCACAACCCATCAATCCGAAATCCTGTTCACTCAGATCCTGAAAATCAGGAAAGTCTGCCCGAGGGGAAAAGCTGGGTGGGCAAGACCTCAGAGCTATTGTTCTGAAGCTGGGGTAGAGAGGGCTGCTTCTGTTTTTCAGACCTCTGTTCTCCACCACTGAGATCTAAGAAACTATTTCCTTGTATGCTCTTGCTTCCCTGACCTAATCTCTTGAATGAAAGGAATGTTGCTTTTTGTCTTGAGATATCAGTCCTGAGTTGCCTCCCATTACTCTTTAGATCTCCTTTTCTAAGGTCTTTCTGAACAGAGCATTCCCAGAACAGAGGATAACACATAGGCCCATTTTTGAAGATGTGTCTGCTGTCCAGTACTTCAGCCGTAAAGCCCTCTTCTGTGATCAATTGTATCATAAAGGGAAATGAAGCCCTGACCATATCGACCACCCCCTTTGTCACAAAGGCAGATGTCAAATTCGATTAGCCCAATGGTTTTATAATAGCCATTCTGTCTATCTTGGACTCCAGTGCCTCTTGAACATTTTCAGTTCATTTATTCAAGGCCCTAGATACTGATGTTAGTGTACAGATGGTCTGCAGTGCTATAGATTAGATATGTGCGATTCGTTTTATTTCAAATCAAAATTCATATGACTTTTCCGTAATATTGATCACCTCCGAATTTCCGAATGTGTCTGAATCCGAATTTCTGTTTCCGAATTTCAGATACCATCCGAATTTCGTTCAAAAACAAAGTTGAATCGGACATGTGACTTTTCTGGCCAATCAGATGTGTTTTTCTGTTTAATGCATCCGAATGGGTCTGAATCCGAATTTTCGTTTTGCATTCGGGGGCTCCCGAATGCCATTCGGGTCTGGGAGCCTCAGGTTTAGTTGTATGTATATATGGGTCACAATGTTGCCGCTATGAATATTTGTTCGTATTATAGAATACTACTTATATATACATAATACTAAAACTGATGCTCCAAGACCCGAATGGAGTCCGAGTTTCCGAATAGCATTCGAGAGCTCCTGCTTGCCATTCGGGTCTGGAAGCCTCAGCTTTAATACGGCTCCCAGACCCATATTGCTTTCTGGAGCTTCCGAATGGTATCTGAATCCCGAAATAACAAAATATCCGAACCGAATTTTACCACAGCTTACATATCTGGTATAGATCTTTTTCATGTTGGCATCAATACACCACGCCTAAAAGGCCACGGTGTTGTCCAGAGGCAGAGTGACATATCATGCCATGCTCTGAAGAAATGCATCTACAGTAAGGGGAGACTTCCGCAAAGATGAATCCTCTGAATGAAATGGGTAAAGCTTCATGAATATATTTTGGAGGGCAGGCCTATTTTCCACATTTTGTGATTTCTTCTCAAACAACTCTGTCATCAAGGGGAATGAGGGTGTCACTTTTCCCATGTCCTCAATAAAGACATTGCATTTACAAAATGTATCCTGGCAGTTTTAAAAATGTAATGTGGCAATGGGGTGAGCAGAATGGAGTTCTGCTTTTACCAACTTATATGATTTTAGGATAAATGTCAGATATATTCTGTTTAAACTTGATATATTAAACCACTGACTTTAATTTACTGTATCCAGATTCCTCAAGTCCTATGATGCCTCCATGTCAATCCTGGATGTTTCCATGTTGACAGGATTCTTACCAGATGTTGACGGGCTTAATAAGGTGAGGAAGAATTTTGGTCCTGGTGCTGTAGACCTATTAGGCTTTGACAGCACGCAAGATCCTCCTTTAAACTACTTAGGTCCTTCCACTGCTAGAAAAATGTGATATGAATAAATAGATTATAGGGAAGGGGCGGGAAAAGATATCAAACCCTCTATGGTGCTACCACCCCAAGTCTTGTCAAGGGGATGTTTGCTCCATAGTACCCCTCTCCTCTAGTAGTGCAGTGGGCAGAGAACTCCTATGAAAAATGAATTCCTAGACAGACGGGGGGAACAAAGTTGGAAAATTAAAGGGCAATTAAGGGCAAAACTTTTTCGTTTTAGCATGGAAAAGGATTAGAAAACCTTTCGTTTTTTTTATTGCAATTTGTGTCACCGTTATGGAGATTCACCTTCTCTATTTGTCCTGGTGACCATTATCGCTGAAAATGAAAGAAAATCCCAAATTGTGTGATGTTGTCAGAACAGGAATAGAGGAAAAATCTTTCAATGGGGGCATTAGTTTTGGTGACCCTGGCTACCAGGGATTTTCCTCACTTTTTCTCTTACTTTCTGTTGTGGCTGTTGGACAGGAAATGAAGGGAACTCTCCCCAATGGGACACAAATGGCAAAAAAGTGCAGGGTGCTGTGGTGTGTTCCACAAGGGGCAGGATCATGGTGTCCTGCACTAACAGGAAGTGGGTTGAATAACATTCAGTGTCATTCAGTCTATTGGAGAACTGAGGCTGAATCACAAAGCAGGTGAGCCAGCACCGCAGATGAGGTGAGCATTGCAATCAGAGCTGCTTTTTATTTTTACACCTACTGAGGGACTAATGAGAAAAATCCTAAAATGGAGTTTGGCTTTAAAGTGACATTAAACCCTCAGATTTTTTTAACATAAACTAATACTGTAATGTGTGCCTTACTGTAATCCATGGTTGTTTCCCTTCTCTTTCCTGCTCTTCCTTTTAAATCCTCATGTCTTCTCATGCTGGGGGAGAACTTCCCTTTGCAGCTGAGTGCCTGTAGTGCTGGCTCAGGTTGCAAACCTACACACAGACACCATGTATCCATTCCAGAGACAAGGCAGTCTGCTGCCAAACAGAAGTTCTGCCCAGCATGACAACAGATACAGATTTAAAAGGAAGAGCAGCAAAGAGAATTGATTGGATTACAGTAAGGCGCACATTAAAGTATTGTTTCATGTTAAAAAATCTGAGGGTTTAATGTCACTTTAAGTGCCAAAACTAAACAGTAAACTTACATCAGCAGTATACTGCCAGCTTAACTATTTGTTTTATTAATCTTCACCCTAACTTGCAGCTAATGAATGGCGTGGATAGGTATATCTTCCGGTATGAGATCAACAAGGAGGCCACAGATAAAGGAACACTCCTCATCTATCTAGACAAGGTGAGGAATAAGCAATCCACCCCAGTCCTTGAAAATTATCACTGAAAAAAATCTACAGTATATACAGTATATATATATATAATTTTTTTTTTAAAGATTCACATTGTTTTGAAAATTATGGGTGTTATTCACAAAGCTGCCGAAGTCAGCCGAGAGAATAACTGAGCCGAAGTGAGCTGAACAACATTCAGCTATTCACTTCTGGTTTGTGCCTGACTGCGAGTGCACTTCGGTCAGATGAACATGCTCTGCATGTTCGGCTGAGCCAAAAAGCAGAAGGACTTCGACTCAGCCGATCCAACATCTGGATCGGCTGAGGCGAAGCTCCGGCAGCTCACTCGCTGCCGTTCACCCCTATTCTCATAAGGGGCGAACGACAGTAAGTGAATAGCCGAATGCATTCTGCTCGGCTATTCTGCTCGGTATCTCTGTGGTACCGAGCAGAATAGCAAATCAATGAAAAAAGTAAAAAAAGGTTGAAAAAAAGATTTTTAAAATGAATAGTTAAATAAAAAATTAATAAATATATATTTTTAAAAAAAAAATGGGCGGAGCTAGCAGTGACAGCTAGCTCCTCCTACCTGTTTCCTATTGGCCGGCACCTGCTAGAGTCTTGTAGTGGGTCCCTGTCAATGAATAACAATTGGGCAGAGCCGGCCGGCCCCGCCCACTAATGATGTCACGGCCGGCCCCGCCCACTTGTTATTGTTTAATGACAGTTCAGCGGTCCCAGGTCATTTTGGGACACTGATCTGTCATTACAACTGGGCGGAGCTCTACCCAGCTGTCATTTGCAGGCCGGCCGCCCTGCTTCGGCTGACACTTCGGCTCAGTCGAGCCAAAGCAAATGCCTTCGACTGAACTGAAGGGCTCCGGCGGCCGAAGAGAGCCAAAGGATCAGCCGAAGCTACGGCTGGATCCTTCGGGCTCCCTATATGTTTTTAAATGTACAGTATGTTTTAAATCATTTTAAAATAAACCTTTATTAGAAATATAAACAATTATGTACAGGGTATACACAGGTTGAAAACCAAGCTAGGCTTCCTGGTAAGAAAGCCCAGCACTAGCTTTTGCTTTCTGGAATATGGTGTTAATCCACTAGTTAAGATGTTGCCAACTACGCAGGCAGAGGAGGAAGGGGATCCATTCTATGGCTCATTCAAATCTAATCATTCAACAGGTAAACAAACTCCCATGTTTGTATTTTATCTTCATAATTAGCAGTTTGTCTGGAGTGTAGCTTTAAGAATGAATGATTTATCATGATAGGTCAATGGCTATTTCACTTGGCTCTCTGTCTTATTGGATAGGACTCTAAAACTTGGCTGTGTGGATGATGAAGGGAAACAACATTTCATGGGAAAACAGAAATCAATGCCGTAACCTTGCGTGCAGTTTTCTAAAACATTGCTCCATCTCCTGTACACTTTACAGAATGTTGAGTCTGACCAGTGAACCCTCTCAATACCAGTGACACAGAACAGTGTGTATAAGTGAGGCCAGTGATCATTCCAACGAAAGACTAGTCCAATAAAAAGTGTGATCAATGATTCCAAGGTTGGAGCAAGGAAACACCATAAAGCAAGATAATATATATAACACTCCTCCCAAAAATGACCAAGAGAGCTCAGTGAGGATACATATAAGCATACGATCAAGCAGAGTCCTGTGTAGTTTTTAATATATTTTTGTGCATAATGTTATAAAGCATGTTGTAATGTTATCTCTTCACATAGCAATTTGCAGCTTTGATGGTTAATAGTTGTGCAAAGCAATGGGATCCAAACAATTATGACATTAATGGTATACAATGTATATACCTCCTCATTGTGCTCTCGTGGTCGCTCATTGGGGGAGTAGTATTTATTAGCTTTGGTTTCTTTTCGGACAGCCAGCTTTAAGGGTCTATTGTAAGAATAGAAGCTTTATGGTGGATTGCGTTCTACCTAAAGTGTTATTTCTTCTCTATTCAGAGGAACAAATCATTTGGCAGGTGACACAGACAATACAAATGACTTCCAACTCTGTACTTA